GCAAGCTCACCACCTCCAACCTCGCGTCGCGGCCGCGCGATTAGAACTCCGTCTCGATTTCTATAGCTGTATATATATATTAAAGCCTATTGATCTCACCACCAAAATATATCGTGATAATATCTATTTGGTGTGGCTCTATAGCCTCGTTTTTAAGGTAGTTTTGGTGAGGCCGCGCGCGCACTTTGTGGTCGCGCGCACTTTGTGGTGGGGCTAGTTAGAGATACCAAGATTTCGCTGTGCAGCTAGATACGTACGTATATGTCGACAATACATAGTACACAATAACAACAGCAGTAGACAGTAGCAACAGTAGTACCAGTACTAGCAATCCCAATACCAGCGATGACGGTACCAAAAAAAAGGGAGGGGGGGAGGATAACTCCGAGCAGCGAGAGGATAGTTGTATCTCTTCCTCGCCTTCCCCGTCTTCCTCCATCTTCTCATTTCCTCAAACCCTTGACTCTTTTTCTTTCCTCTCCTATTCAACACTCTCCTCCTAATCATTAAGCTTAAATCAATCATATCTCACTTATTTTATTGTATTTTATTTCATTTAATTCACTCGAATCTAACAACAACGCAGTAACAGCCAGCAGCTGAGGCAATGACAGACAGTGTAAGGAAGCTAGGTAAATAGATAGATAGGATTTGTGAAATTTCTTGCTTGCTTACATGGCTGCTTACATGCTGTTTTGTCTGACTAGCTGGCTGGATAGATAGATAGATAGATAGCTGTCTAGCTGACTTAAAAAATGGCTGGATAGATAGTACGCATCAAGTCCCTCTCCTACTCCCTCTCCCTCTCCTCCCCGTCCCTTCAAAAAAAACCCTTCGAACCCCCCCCCTCACTCTCTCTCCATCAACCACCAGACTCACACAAACAAAGCAAATAAACGCGCTCTAGGTTTAAAAAAAATGAAGAAGTAACATAGGAGAGAGAGAAAAAGAAAAAGTTATGTATAGAAAAGTAGTAAGTAAGTTTTAAAAAAAAATCCAAACAAAGGGAATCCAGAAAAAAGAAAAAAGGAGACGTGGGATACATAGGGTTGCCCGTTCATAGCGACAACGATAAGATGAAAAACAAAGAACAAAAAAAAACATATGCAACGGAAAAAAAAGAAAAAAAAACGATGATGATAATGGTGATGATGATGATGATGATGACAGCGAATAAAGTAGGCAGGCAGGTAGGTCAATAGCTCAGCATAACCAAAAAACAAAAACACAAAAATATTAAGTCTGGGCCTCTTGGTTTTTCCCTTGTGCACCCGTAACAGGAGCAGTAGCACCAGGAGCAGTGCTCTCACCGACTGGCTTCGCTGTTGCGGCAGAATCGCCAGCATCTGCACCTCCAGCGGATTGCTTATTACCTCTGGCCTGGTACTCCTTTGCATGATACTTTAGAGCGTTTACTCTCGCACCTGCTTCTCTCTGGACCTGGTGGCGCAGGTGGCGGGGCGACATTTCGCCCTGGTCTTCTATGCGATCGAGCTCTTCGACGTCGCTGCTGCTCATGGAGCTGCTTCTTGAAATCTGCGTGTAGACTACGGCTTCGCCTTCGCGCTTCTTGCGCTCGCGCTGCTCCTCCTTCATGGCGGCCATTTTCTCCGCGTCGCCCTGGCAGTCGAGGGTGCGGATGTGCAGGCCGGGGAAGTTTGATTCGAAAAAGGCTCTGAGTTGGGGGAGCAGCGCGGGGTTGGGACGGTAGGTCCCAGAGTCGTTGTCGATGACGAGCTCGTAGTATGCAGGGTCTTTCTTGGGGGGTTCGTCCGGGGGCCCGCCGTCCAGGTCCGAGGGCGGATGCGATTCGTTGTTTCCGCCCTCGTCGGGTGGGCGGCGATCCTTGTGCTTGAGGCGCCGGATGAAGAATTCTCCGGAAAAGGCAATGTAGGGCGCTACGTCGCTGTGCATGGTGTGCTTGCTCAGCATATCAATACCAAACTCCTTGCCCGTTTCGGTAAAGCGGAAGAGGGCATCGAGGGTCAGGACGTAGGTGAAGATGCGCCCGCCCTGGTCATAATGCACGAGCTCGAGGAATTTTTGTGTAAATTCTTTGCACGGCTCGGAAATGAACTTGTACTCGGTGGCGTGGTCGAAATTGTACACGCGCGAGTGCTGGTGGTGCAGCGCCTTGGATAGAATGTATCCCCGCACGCCCTGGGCGGTAAACATGCTCTTGACAAACGGCTTAAACTCGACATAGCGGTGGTACATTGCTTCGGGCACAGGCCCGCGCAGCTGCATCTGGTTGGACTGGAAGTTGTACTTTTCTGGTTTTGCCCGGCCGGTCCTCCGCGACACTTGGCCGTCCTCGTTGGGTTCTTTCTGGCCGAGCAGGCGGCCTAGCAGCGGCGAGTAGTGGCGTATCCAGAACTGCGGCCCCACGGTGTATGCGCGCCCGCCATGCTCATCCTGTGTCCTGCCCAACACCTCTACGCTGACATTGAGTGTCCCGTTCATGTGGTGCGCCTTTCCAAAGCAAACCGCAATGGCGCGCAGTATATACGCCCGCTTGCTGATCATGCGCTTCTTGATGGGAAACGTCTGGTCGTGTATGCCTCCCCAGTTCTCGTTTATCGCCGGAACGGTAACGTGTACATTGCCAAGGCGGTCGTCGTGGTCGGCGGGGTCTTCGTCGTAGATGCGGCACTTGAGGTTGAAGCCCGACGCGGGCACATTGGCGACTATCCACTCGCAGTTCCACACAGGGTCGGTACTCTGGCGTATGGTGGGCGTGCGCATGGTGAGCGGGGGGTCTTCCTTGTGCCTGGTGGGCAGGCCCGTCGTGAGCTGGGCGATGATGAAGGGATCGGCCGAGAGGGTGTTGATGTCGGCGAGGGGCAGATTGTTGGCGCGGTGCAGCGTAAACTTGACCGTGTAGCCCGGCGGAGCGCGCGGTATGGGCGTGTCGTCGAAGCCTCCCTCTGGGCCCTTTTTCTTGCTGCCGGCGGTATCCGTCTTTTGCGGCCTGGGATGCTCTCCGTTGGCGCCCATTGGGGGCGCCTCCTTGTCGGCGGGCGCTGGCGCATGGCCATTCTGGACGCCGTCTGGCCTGGCGTCCTTGTCTTCGGGCATGGCGGCGGGGCGCGACGGGGCGCGTCGAGCGGGGAGCGAAAGTGCGGGTGGTGGTGGTGATGATGCTGACAGAGGGCGCGTCTCGGGGCAGCGAAGCGGCGGGTAGCACGACGAGGGACCAACTAAGAGAGAGAAGCGGGATGCTGGAGCGGGAGGGTCATTGATGATGGTGATGGACGGCGCATTCCGTGGCAGCGCGACGATGGGGCCGGGTGCAAGGCGGTGCAGACAGCGACGCTGGTGAACGCGCAATCTCGTGCGGGCGCAGCGGCGGCCAAGTGTTGATCAACTGTGCGAGGCCCGAGACCCTGCAAAAACAAGCTCAGCTAAGCCTTGGGCTAAACGGGCGCCATGGTGTGGTTGGGGAGGGGAGGGGGGGTGCGCCAACCACCACTGTGGAATATCGCTACGTCGATATTGCATGCCGCCGGGCGTTCTATTGGCACTTGTGCGTGACACGCCAACGGTGCCATCCTAGTCCGTGTCTCGAAAGGTGAGGATTGACGTCACCACGTCCCCGTCACATGCATGAATTGGTTTTTACACAGTGTGGAAAAACCCGCTCCATCGCCGGGTCCATCCTGTCCACGCCAGCCCTATGACGCATGCTTGCATGAACATGTATTAAATGGTACTAGTAGTGCAATATCTATTTTCTCGAGGGAGGGCGAAGAGTCGTAACCGGTCCAAGAAAAAAAAAAGCCGCCAATCTATCATAGACCCAGCCAAATACGCCAACGCCGCGCTTGCTATTATGTAGTCAATGCCGACATGCTCAGAAAAGGGTATCATACAGGGGCCCTCGGGCGGGCCTTTCAACACTCAAGTCCAAATTCTCCTTGCGAGTAATTCAATGGAAACGCCTCACGCAGCAGCCATGGTAATCTGCTTGCCCTTCATCGACTTCCACTCGACGAACGCAGCGCCGATGATCGAGAGTGCTCCACACGCAACCGAAACATAGAATGTCTGCGTCAGAGTCTCGTTGTACGCCGAGAGCACGCCTCCAATGTACTGGGGGTCGATGGCGTTCTTGAGCTCCGTGGCGCCCGTGCGAAGAACAAGGCCGGAGTCAAGATCCGGCACCGTGCTGGCGAGATTGTCAATGAGCTTGTTGGTGAAGACGTTCTGGGCCACCGAGATGAAAAGAGCTCCGCCCAGCGTCTGGAAGAACATCATCGTCGCCGTGCCAATGGGGATGTCGGCCGCCGGAAGAGCCGTCTGAACAGCAACGAGCGGCTGCTGCATGCCGAAACCCACGCCCGCTCCGAAGAGGAACTGGTAGCCGATCCATTCGGGCGAGCCGCTGTCAACCTTCATCGACGAGAGCAGCCCGGCTCCGATCGTCAGCAGAACCGAAGAGATGAGCATGAAGGGCGTGTAGTAGCCAATGTAGGTAACCAGGCCACCGGTGATCATGGAGATGAGCACAAGGCCGAGGATGGCCGGGAGATTCATGATTCCGGACTTGGTCGCCGAGGCTCCCTTGATGGCCTGGAACCAGATGGGAAGATAGTAGACCATGACGAAAAACGAGGCTCCCAGCATGGCGACAAAGAAGGCGCCTCCCCAGACGTTGCGGTTGAGGAACACGCGCGGAGGAACCGTAGCATCTTCCTGCTTCCACCACTGCACGACCAGAAAGCCGCACATGAGGAGGACAAAAAGGACCAGGAGCGCAATGATGCGTCCGTCTTTCCAGGGGTACTTGCTGCCACCCCACTGGAGCGCGAGCAACAAGCACACAATGGCCGGCAAGAAGCACGCTGTACCGTGGAGGTCGAACTTTTGAACCTGCTCTTTCCACGTCGCCTCGATCTTTGCCCCGCGGCGCTTGACGTTGAGAAAGGGGATGATGAAAGCGGCTGTAATCGCGCCGAAAGGGAGGTTAATGTAGAAGCACATGCGCCAGGACTAGTCTACAGTCAGCACGATATCTGTGGAACGGGTGACAGGGCAGCTTACGATGTGGTCGGTGAAGGCTCCGCCCATACTAAGCATCATTGTTAGTACCACGTGACGAGACCTGGGACAGCAACATAACTTACAGTGGCCCAGCAACACTGGCGATACCGTACATTCCTCCGATCAGTCCCATGTACGTGGGGCGCTGACGCAGTGGCACCGTAACAGAGACGATCAAAATAGCACCCGAGAAGATGCCCGCAGCACCGACACCAGCAATGGCGCGGCCCAGGATCAGAGCAATCGAGTTTGGTGCCACGGCGCAGATCAGCGAGCCGAGTTCGAAGATGGCGAGGCCGGTCAGGTAGACCCATTTGATCGAGTAGTACGTGTAGAATTTTCCGTACATGAGCTGCGTCGCACACGTGGTAAGCAGGTAGGAGGAGCCATACCAGCCGACGTCGTTGAGGGCCTTGAACTGGTCTGTAATTCGAGGGATGGCTGTGGCGATGATGGTGTTGTCCTACCGGTAGCGTCAGCCATGTTACATGTGCGCAGCCAGTCCCATGGAGCGCCAAGCCGCATCGGTCGCCGTTTGGGGGGGGGGGGGCACCGGCGCAGCGGGAGCAGGTGAGATTCGGTAAAGCAGTCAGCTTACTTACCAGCGCCATGCAAAACACACTCAGGCAGAGCGCCACGGTAATGGCAGCCAGCTTCCATTTGGTCGGGTACTCGAAGTCGTCGTCGACTGCAGCGAGGCCATTTGCTGAATTGGGTCGCGACGTCTTTTCTCCCATGTCGCTCGCCGGCGCCGCAGCAGGCACCACTGTCTCAACCACCCCCTTTGCATCGCCAGTCCCGACATTATGGCTCGACGTGGCCGTCTTCTCCGAGTCCGCCATGCTCGCGGGACGGAGGCTGTTTCTGGCGTCGCTCATGTAGACGTGTGGTAGGAGATGTCCGTGTGTAGGGAAGAAGAAGAAAAGCAATCGAGTAGGTATGTTGGTATGTAGGTATGTAGGACTCTACGTGCCAAGCCCAGACACCGACTCAACAAAGTGGCAATCGTCGCCGGTGACAAGTGAGCTGTGATGTGATCGTCGTAACCCAAGAGCAACAAGACTCGTTAAAGGGGGCGAAGAGGAAAAGGGGCAAAGGGCAGAGCTGAACAAGAAGAAGAAGAAGCGATAACGACCTTTGCATTTAACATATACACCAGTTTCCCTCCCCCCAAGTCCCAAGCCGGGGGGACTGCCACCGATATAAGTAGGTTCCGCGGGGAACAGAATCCCTCCAAGCAAAACAGAACAGACAAGCAGAGTCATGCCCGGCGGCCCCATCACCCCAAAAAAGAAGCCAGTGGCGCGCCTCTTTTTTTTTCGTGCTTCCCCACCTAAGCGACCTACTTAGCCCCCCCAGGTAGCATGTTACTGTGTTACTTAGCACTGTAATAGAACGCCCGTCCCCAAGCAACGGACCAAACAAGGGCGGGGGAGGGGGGAAAGGCAGCATGAACAAAGGAAAAGAAAAAAAACCGGGAGGTTGTTAGACAGGTTTTTTTTGGGGGGGGGACGGCGCTGCGCTCTCCTGGACGTTAATGCCCGGCGGCTGAAGATCGCCGTGACCGCGTTCGGATTTAAGCAACAGAGATGAGAGGCGCTAGAAAAGGGAACAATCGACTGGATTGGATTGGACTGGACTGGACTGGACGGCGAGAGACAAGGAATCCGCCTCCGGGGTTTAGTTTAGAAAAGCATCGCTTTCTCCGTGCTGTGTGTTTGACATGCACACTACTCATACACTACACAACGCCTCATGCATAGACGCCATCCATCCATCCATCCATCCATCCGTCCAGCCCAGCAAGCAAGCAAGCAAGCAAGCCACCTTCGCACATGTTTTTCGTCCGGCGGAACGAGCGTACCGCCAAGCCCTTTTTTCTCCCCCCATTTCAGGCGTTCCACTCCGTTGCAATCGACGCCCATATTGCTGCCTGATGGGAATCCTCAAATCTCCAAAGTGCTGGGGTGTGTATGTGTGTGTGTGTGTTGTGCAGAAAGGCGGCGAAGCCTTTTCCAAGCCACACAGCCTGTCCTACCCTACCCTACCCTACCCTACCCTATCCACTATCCACAGTACACACATGCCACCTTGATTGCGAATCCGAGCATGGCGAGCCTGTAAGAATCTGTAAACGCACACTCGATGACCCACGCCAAACCATTCAACGCGGCAATCGGGGCGAGGCGTACCGGCATGACAGGGCAAGGGGGTATCGTTTATTCATAAAAAAATGCGGGTCTTATTCTCCCTTAACGCTAGTTGATTGGTCTAGATGCAAGCACTCCCCCCCGGTCAGGCTGATCGAGTTAGACCAGCACTAGCTGCTAGACAGATAACCGAGCAAGTAAAGAGAAGCTCGGTTAGAAAAACAAAAAGAAGAAAAAAAAAACAAGATACAACAGTCTAGAAGCCCACCACACACACGCGCAAACGTATGTGTGCAGAACCAAAATTCACAAGTCACAAGTCGCAAGGGGGAATTTACAAGACCTGACCTGTTGGACATAGCTGTTGCCTGTTGCCTGTTTGCCTACTTACATACTTGCTAAAGTAAGTAAATCCCAAACTACACACCACTACACACCACCTTTCCAACCCACACTATTCCTATCCCCATCCCCATCCCCATCCCCATTTTCAAAACACCCGTAATCCATTTCTCCTTAGTCTCATTAGTCATATTTAGTCGTCTTTTAGTCGCATAACCCCCCCCCCCCAACCGCGATACACCTGCAGTACAAATACGCTGGATACGAAGGCGCCGGCATCCGGTGTCTCGGGCGTCTCGCGATCCGACAGCTTGCACGTGTGAGTGGCTGAGATGGATGGGGGGAATCGGATCGGGTTAGTGTGTGGATTGCTGGGGATGCTACTGCTGCTGCTGCTGAGAATGATGCTGCCGCTGCTGATGATGGTGATGATGATGATGATGATAACGATGGTGATGATGATGATGATGATGACGATGGTGGTGGTGATGGTGTGTGATGCATACAAGCCATTTCCGCTTCCACAGTCTCTTTTCCCAACTACCCCGACCTAGATCTATGTGTAATATGCGTGTAATACTAGGATGTATACAATATCAACGTCGGTAGTTTTTTTTTTCTTCTCTTCGTCTTCGTCTTTCGTACGTAGTACAGTACAGTACAGTACGGGTACTTGATTCGGTGACTTTTTCCACGCCGGCTTTCGTTCGTTGACTTTTGATACAATACAATACACTAGAGTAGAGTAGAGTAAATCATCTTGTGCATTTTGCAGTTTTGACTTTGATTTTCACACCACTTGATTTCGTTATCCCGTTTGAAAAACAGAATAATTTTTTTTTACTTACTATGCACTTTGCTATTCAGACTATGCATCCACTCTAGCACTAGCAATCCATCTACGTTTCAAACAACCCCCCCATTCCTCTATACTGGACTGTTCAAGCCCCACCAATCAAACTCGTGCACACGGCGGCCTTGGCAGCCGTTAGCTCAGCCCCAAATAAATATACCTGATGATATCAACCGCTCGCGCACATGTAACAATCACATGCGCATAATGACATACTATATACAATGCCGATGACAACAATACGCGGCCCCCCCCCCCACCAAAACAACAGCCGCCAATCTAATCCTGACTCAGCCCCCCCCCCCCTCCGACTCGTTCTCGTTGTCGCAACCACCACTTCGCATACTTCGCATTCGGAGCGGACCGCCCCCTTTTTAACGCCGACTTGCCGATGCCTCACCCCCTCCGACGCCCGATCATGGGCATGGCCTGACCTGTAGGGGCTTGGCTTGGCTATTTGATTTTCTCGCATGGACAGCTTTTCTGATTGCTTTGCTTTTGGTTGCGCGATACTGACTGATACTGACATAGACATGCATCGTGTATGGTGCACCGCGTATATGCAGCGCGTATATGCAAACAAGACGTTAGAAACGCAACATGACACGTACATGGACGCAGAATCTTTGTTTGACTGTGGAGCTAAAACAGGTGCGTAGACGACGATGAGTCAACCGTATGCTACATCGTTGCACTGTGCCAGCTGCGCTGGAGTGGGTTGCGTCCACTGCTAGCGCACGTTCTGCTGAACCCAGTACCATACTCTGTCGAGATACTCCTCGTCCAGCGGCTTCACGCCTCGCAGTGCCGATACGCGCTTACTGGTGTTTGTCGTAGAAAAGCGCCGTCTCGGGCCTGACGCGGCTGACGCTGTGGCATAGGCTTCTTTCCATAACCCCAGGAGTTTCAGGGCAGAGTGGTCAGAATCCGACGACGCCTCCAGTCGTTCGACCCAGGTCTTGGGCGCGACAATGGCAAAGTCTTCGCGCTTCTGCAGCCACTGCAGCATCTGGCGCCAGGTCGGGCTTTGGTGTGGGTTCAGGACATGGTAGACGGGCATTGTCTCATCTCCGTCGAGCGTGTCGGCCGTGTCCAAAAACGCCCGGGCAGCCACATCCACAGGCAGCCAGTCGAGCGGCTCATCGTCCAAGTCGGGCAGGCACTTGATCAGCCTCGCCGTGCTCAACATCATAGGCCAAGCTTCCTTCGTGTTCCAGACCCCGGTCGTCGAGTCACCAGCGAGCTGGCCAACACGAACAACCGCGATCCGCCCACCAAGCGCTGTTTGCTCGTGTGCTCTTAGGCAAATGTGCTCGGCAACCCATTTGGAGCGAGAGTAACCCAACGGCGATGCTGAAACAGGCTTAGACGGGACCTCCTCAGGCAACTCGCCTGCAGCATTTGGTGGGTCATTGATAACCGCTGCCGTCGAGGAGCAGTATAGGAAGCGAGGAGGCAGCGAGCGTCGTGCACTCAACGCGAGGTTGAGTAGGTTCCGCACTCCCGCAATGTTGTCCTTTTCAAAACTTCGAAGCTTGAGACGGAAGTTGACTGTCCATGCGACGTGGATGATCAGAGTTGCTTCCTTTGCAAGATAATCATAAGTGTCATCATCCAGGCCCAGACGCTCTTCACCAAACTGCGCTGGCACGACTTTGATATTGCCATACGGGGCATCGGGTGGGCCCAAGTCGATCAGACCTCGTTGTTGCAGTGCCGTGTTAACCCGCTCCCTTGCTGCTTGTTCATCCGCCCCTCTTACCAGACAATATACGGCCGTGACGTCGGTAGCTTTCTGCAGTAGACTTAGGATATGCGTACCCAAAGCACCAGTGGCCCCGGTGAGCACCACAACTTGGCCGTCTCCCTTCTTCTCTCCATGGCCAAATGTGCCCTGTTTCGACTGTTCAAACGCGCCATACCGCTCTACCATGTCCAGCATCAGTTGCTCTTCGTCTTCTTCTCCCGAGTCGCCTTGGCCGCGTCGTTTTCGCAACACGTAGTCTGTCAGTCGTCGAATGGAACCGCAGTCTTCAACCACGCTCATGGGGAGCTGTCCCTCCATGTTTGGGATCAGTCGCCTCAGACGCGTTCTCAACTGCATGCATGCAATCGAATCAACGCCATACGCGAACAAGTCCATGTCTTCCCTTAGCTCAGCAGTCTGCCCAGTTATGCTCTGAATGAGATGGATCAAGTGCTGAGGTAGGTCGTGGTCGCTCACCGGTGGCGCCGTGTCGGAATCCTGCGAGCTGTATGCACTGTTGATAATGTCTGCGAACCGAGACTCTGCAGCTCTCCGGATCTTGGTACCCTTGCTACTTTTCTCGAGCGGCTGATCTTGATAGGGGACTGGGATCAGCATTTCAAGTGGTATTCGGGCATGGTCCTGGCTCTCTCGGTTCAGTCTTTCAACTTGCTCCTTGATACTGCTGAGCAACTCCTCGTCTGACATTGCACTGGCCTGTTCAGATCGTAGGAGCAATGCGCCGGGAAAAGGCCGGTCATTGCCGAAGATGAGGACATCACCCAGGTGGGGCGATGCTGCCATGGCATCCTCGAGCGGTGCCGGGTCGAACTTCTTTCCCGTGATCAGAGTAAGCTGGGAGTCTGCTCGTGAGTGGTACAACCAAGCGTTTTTTATGCTTGGATGGGGCGCGAAGAGATCAGCAGTTGCGAACGATCCATCAGGGCGGTTCTGCTTTGCCTGTTGGACATTAGCAGCCACATGCTACGTATGACATATTGAAGGTACCATGTGAGGCCATCCAGGTTTGATGACAAGTTCTGCCAGGCCGCTTTGGCGCTCTTGGAATTCCAGCAGCCCCGGTGGGTTGTAGTCCCTCAGGTACTGCCAATCATGGTCGGTAGTAAAGTCACGATATGATGATAGTATGAAGCCACACTCTGCACTTCCAAACCGTGAGATGAGATTGACTCTCTTCCTGACCAAGCGATCACCGACTTCTATTGGCAACGCAGCGCCCCCGACGCCTACAATGTCCATTCCCTGCAGTAGCTCTAGGCCTCGCTCGTCGGCCTCCATCATCTGAAGCACGTACGGGACCGAAGAAAAGTACTTGACTTTGGGCAGCCCTTCGGTCGCTGCGTATGCCTTGGCTGCATCCAGGCAACAGCAGATATTACGCGCTGTTATGGGCACATCTTTGCCTGGGAAAAGCCAAATCAAGGCACTGCTGGTCCAGCTTCGGAACAAATCCGCAATGCCTCCATGGTAGAGGGGAGTCGTGGTAAAGGACGCTACAGGGGGTATCTTGGGGAGGTGTGGCAGGGCGCCGACGGCTGCACGATGAGATTGCGGAATAGGCTTTGGAAGGCCAGAGGAGGTTCCAGAAGTATGGTGCAAATAGGCAATGACTCGTTCATCGGCATGAAGAGGCTCAACGCTACCCTCGGGCTGTCCCTGGATGGCCTGCCAGACGTTTTCGGATGCACGTAATGGTAGCGGCTTTATCTCTAGTGCCGGCAGTCGCTGCCCCTTTGCTAGCTCTTCCGTCGTTTCCGCTATGTCGGCATGGGCGGCATCATAAAAGAGGACACAAACCTCAGACACGGCGCAAAGGTGCAGTATTGCAGCCGGCTGACACTGGGGGGCTACGAGTAAGACGGAATGACCCAGTCGTATTAGCCCCAACCAAGTGAAGAGGAACTCAGGGGAGCTGTGACTGAGCAGCGCGACAGTGTGCGGCTGTGTGGGGGGATCAAGAGCTATTGATAGGCGTGAGGCGAAGACGTCGACACCGCGGTCGACATGGTCAAAGGTCAGGACCTGGTAGTTCCATTCCCGTTGGTCGGGACTGGGGATGGGGAAGCCGACGGCAGGGAGTAAGGGGTGGTGTTGGGACTGCAGGCTGATAAATTGGCTAATATTTCGGTATGACTTCGGAGTGGTGCTGAGAGCGGCAGCTTGACCCAGGGTGCAAACAAAGTGGTTGTTCTGCATTTCAGAGGGCGATTCGATGAGCGGGAGAGATGTGGTCAGGTTGCAGTGCCAGGTTCAAATCCCACGGAATATGTGTGAGATTGGATGTGGCAGTAGGAACCAGTTTGGGGTGATGACATCATTGCGGCCGTAAGGGCGATAGTGAGGCTGCAGGCAGTGCTACAGTATGGAGCCGTGGTATGGGGACGGGGGCGGGACAGACAGCGAGTGTGGGCAGAATGCGAGCCGCGGAATTGCCCCAGTGCATACGAATGGCAATGAGAATAGATGAGTGTACGGGCGCACGAGGTTTATCGAAAAGTAGGAGTGCAGCGGCGCCGGGACTGGTATGTGGCTGGGCTGGGCTCACGTGTTTGATGAGGCGCGCACAAGCCACATGTTCGGCAAGCCCCTGTGCCTGTGGCTCAGTTGGATCTGACAAGCTACTATTTTATGTGCATGTACCCACATGTGTAGGTGTGCAGTGCATGCAAATACATGCTTGTGTGCGTGCATGCTTTTCTTTTGTCGCCGTGGCCAAGCTGCTCTGCAATGGCTGGCATCGAGCCGGCTGGACAGCAGAGGGGTACAGTACTCTAGCAGCGTGGCTTGGCCGCGCAAGCAGCTGGCGAAGATGACATGTCGTAGTCTAGCATACGTCAGACGCGCCACACCGACTACTACGGTTCTGGAGTAGCAAGCACGCGGCCAATATCCGGGTTGCAGGGCCAGGGGATGCTGAATGGTCTGCATGGTATGGACGTAGCAGAGGCAGGGCAGAGGCAGAAGGTAGCATTAGCAGCGCAGCGGTGGTGGGAGCACGAGTGGGAGCAGCTACTACTAGATGGAAGCGGCATGGCGGTGTGTGGCCATGGCATTCGGCGTGCAGCAACATCAGCATGCGTCTTTGTGCGGCCAAGGCGGGGGGCGGCATGATTGGGCGACGGCGCATGCTTTTGCTGGGCGTGGGCGGGCTGGAGAGGGGAAGGAGCACGGCACGACGTGACTGGAAGCGGCCGTTTCTCCAGTAACGCAACGGCACGGCTCCAGTGGGCTGCAGGAATCCATGTGTGGCTGGGCTTGTGTTTTGCTGCGGCAAGCATAGGTGCAGATGCTCTGGCGAAGAGGCCGTCTGGCTATCCATGTGAAACGGGGCGACACACACAGGTCAAGTCTACTGCCGGGCTGCAACCCTGACGGTGCTTTTGGCCAGCCTGAGGTGGTGCGGCGGTGGAGCTCGGCCCGCGCGATCATGGCTGTGTGGTGGAAGGTAGCGGTAGTGGTAATAGCAGCTAGCGGCATGCGCGCGCGTGCTATTGGAAGGCCCCGGATGTGCACGGCCACACTGCAGGGTTGGCGGGCCATTCATCTGCACAGGCGGCACACTTGGGCCGAGGAACAGTCGAACCGCGCATCCACCACGCCACGCTACAGTACACCAGCACACTAGAGCACTGCTATACATGTACATGCTTCACACACATGCAAACTCGGCGCGGTGCTGTCGCGAGGGGCTGGCACGCCCGCACCGCGGAGCCAGCCACAGGCGCGCGGGCGGGGTCAGGTGCAGGCGCATATCCGAAGCGCGGCGGGTTTTGCGACTGGCCCAATCTGAAACCCATGCGGCCAGTCGCTGTGGCATGGCCAACATGGTGACGACGACGCGCGACACGCAAAGAACGAGCTGCCTCGCAATGCACCAGGCCGCCCCGCCCCGCCCGAGCTGGCGAGGGAGCGGCCGCCACAGGGCGACAGCGACGGCGACGGCGACGGCGGCGGCGCAAGAGAGAGGGCGCCGCCCCCTTCGGCAGCCGGCACCAAGGCCACGATGACGCTGGCCAAATGAGCAATTTCCTCGCACAGCAACAGGCCAAGGCTGCCCTCGACGCTCGCCCGCAGCGTCTGAGCGTATCTCCAGAGCACTGGCCCTAGCGCCCCAAGCAGGCAAGCCCGGCCGACTAGCCCTGCTCGCCGCGCCCGTGCGTGCGAGCATATATTCCTGCCCTCCCCAGCAGCCACCCGCCCTCCAGCTATCCCGTTCCCCAACCCCAGCATCATACATCCCGCTGTAAGTTGCGCCGCTGCCCCCAATTGCCTCGTCAGCCAGCCAGCCCGCCCGCCAGCACCCCGCTCGCCGCGCGCCTCATCTCGCTGCCTCATCTCGCTGCCTCATCTCGCTGCTCCGCGCTGCACGCCCCAAGCTCCACGGTGCTCCCACGCCCGCGCTCCCGCTGACGCTGCTCAACCCAGGCATTGCTACTCTGACCCATCCGCAACAATGCGCTACTCGACCCTCTTCGTCGCCGCCTCGGCCCTCGCCGGCTTCGCTGTCGCGCAGAACAGCACCCAGTACAACACGCCCATCCCCTGCTGCAGCGTCACGCCCAGCTCCGTCGACCAAAACGACCGCCAATCGTGGTGCCAGGCCAACCAAAACACCTGTGTCGAGCTCTGCGGCGGCCCCGGCCAGCTGTCGAGCAACGGCAACCAGTGCGACCCGGTACGTGGCTCGCCCCTGCCTTCCTGCTGTCGCGTTGCTAACCCCCCTCGGTGCAGTCAACGCTCAAGTACTCGTGCAAGTGCCGAAATGGCACGGATGTGACGAGCGTCATGGACCAGTACCAGCAGACGGTTCCCGGCCAAATGTGCCGTGTGTGGTACAGCAACTGCATCTCTGCCTCGGGCACCGACGCCACGCAGCAGTTTGAGTGCGAGCAGGTGCTCAAGAACGTGTGCGGCAACAAGACGGTCCAGGATGCTACCAACGCTGGCAACGCCGGCTCATCGTCTGCCTCGGCCTCGAGCAGCCCCTCGGCCACGCGCTCGAGCGGCTCTGGCGCCGCTACCGGCAGCGCCTCTGGCAGCGCCGCCTCGTCGACGCCCACGCGCGGTGCTGCTGCCAACCTGGCCTTCTATGGCACATCTGCCCTGGCCGGCGGCCTCTTCGCCCTCTTCGGCATGGCTCTGTAAAGGCGCAGCGCTCGAGATGGGTCGAGGGCCGGTCCCTGTAGCACGGACGGTATGGCATGGACAAGGGACGCGCGGGGGAAGAGAGAGGCACATCCGCCAGCGGCTGAGCGTTGGCGTTAACATGGCATTGGCTTTTTATCTGCTCGGAATTTTTTTGTTCATCACTGCTGATGGAGGGTGAGAGGTGCTTCTACGAGGATACTTTAATGCGATGTTATGAAAGGACACACGACTTGTAATACCCAATACTACTGATACTGCCACTGCCACTGCACTGCTGGGCGACGGGTCTTGTGTGTGTGTGTGTGTGTGTGTGTGTGTGTGTGAAACGCTGTTTTCTGCCTGTGAGGCGCGTCGTCCAGAGCGGTCCGTCTGGCAGCGCCACGGGCACCGGCAGTGGCACCTGACGTCTTGTCGTGGCTGTGGCTGCTCCAGCGCGGCTGTTCGCATGCCATTGGCCTGTCTTTTGTTGATCAGCAAGCTGCAAGTCCAGGTGCAGATCTCGCATCCATGCACATGCACATGACGCAAATCACCAGCCCCGTCCGCCCTTCACCTTGTGCCCACTCGACTGCCATTGCCAGCACGCCCCTCACTGCCCACCACTCCTCTCCTGACGCTGCCATTGAAGCTTTCCGCACAGGCCCGTCACAAGCTGCCGAGGTCAACCCGGCGCCTCTTATCCCAACGAGTATGTTGCAACTTTATGCCGCGGCGTGGCTAGAAACTTCTTTTTTTTTTTTACCCCTTCCCCTCTCATGCTGATTACACGCAGGCACCATAGCAATAACACAGTGGTCCTGGTCCAATTTGCGAGGCACACTCTACTTGCGCCACATTCGTCTCTCTGCGACGCCGCCCCTCATTACCTACAAATTCTACGTCCAAGCGCAGTCGTCGCCAAAAGCTTTTTCCACTCCAAGCATTCGCACAAGAAAGAATACAGTGTGAGGAAAATGGCGACTCTCAGCGTGGGCTACAAGCACAAAGTCACAGTCGTCGGCTCCGGCAACTGGTATGTGGCCTGGGGCAGCTCCAAGCTGTCCAGATAAGAGTTGTTGGTGGGCAGCGCTGACTGAGCGGCAACAGGGGCACCACCATGGCCAAATTGGTGGCCGAGAACGTCAAGGAGAATCCGTCTCTGTTCGAGCAGACGGTGCAGATGTGGGTATATGAGGAAGAGTACACAATCCCCAAAGACTCACGCCACTACACCGGCTCGGATAAGCCTGAGAAGCTGTCAGAGCTCATCAACAAGGTGCACGAGAACGTCAAGTACCTCCCCAACATCACGCTTCCCTCCAACGTGATTGCGAATCCCAATCTCCCCGACTCGTGCAAGGACTCGACGATACTCATCTTCGTGCTGCCCCACCAGTTCATCGCTCGTTCATGCCAGCAACTCGTTGGAAAGATTCTCCCTTATGCGCGAGCTATCTGCTGCACAAAGGGCGTCGATGTGAGCGAAAAGGGTATTCGGTTGATGTCGGAGACAATTGGCATGACGCTCAACATCTACTGCGGCGCTCTGTCCGGCGCGAATATTGCGTCTGAGATTGCACAGGAGAAGTACTCAGAAACCACCATTGCGTACGACCCGCCGCCAATGGACTCGCAGAACCCCACACCACGAGGTTCACCACGTGGTTCTCAAGTGGACCTCACTGCGCATGTCGATCTCATCGATCCCAGCAAGGAGCAACCCAGCAAGCGCTCTGCGCGCCTGACGGCTCTGCCCAACGAGTACCCGCCCCTGTCGCATGAAAACGTCCGCAAACTCTTCCACCGCCCTTACTTCCACGTGCACATTGTCAACGACGTTGCTGGCGTCTCGCTGGGAGGTGCTTTGAAGAACATTATTGCCCTTGCTGCTGGTTTCGTGGATGGCCTGGGATGGGGCGACAACGCCAAGGCCGCCGTCATGCGTGTGGGCATCCTGGAGATGGTCAAGTTTGGCAAGGCCTTCTTTGGAGAGAGCGCTCGCACCAGCACCTTTACCGAAGAGAGCTGCGGTGTTGCTGACGTTGTGACCTCATGCATGGGCGGACGCAACTTCCGGTGCGCAAAGATGGCTGTGGAGCGCGGCAAGCCCATCAACGAGATTGAGCAGACGGAGCTCAATGGCCAGAAGCTGCAGGGTACGAGCACTGCCTACGAGGTCAATGAGTTTCTCAAGGCCGAGGGCATGGAAGACGAGTTTCCACTCTTCACGGCAGTCTACAACATTTTGGAGGGCAAGAACAAGCCCGAAGACATTCCGCAGCTCATTGAGAAGAAGCCCTGATCAGACACGTGACCGCGGAGGCATGAGGTTCATTGCTACGAATACCCCATAAGTAGAGTACATTTTCATTGCATGCTTATCAAGGCTCCAATCCAAGTCTTTGCGTTATCATGCGCTAATACGCTTACGGACCACTGAAGTCAACAAGTCTGTTTGCAGCAAAGCATATTGCTAAGCATGCATATAGGCGACATGTTGATGCAACCGGGTGACCTAAGATACATCGGAGTGAGCATCGGAGTTAGGCACACATGTCTTGGCAAGATCGACGTTTTGGGCCTTGACAGGGCCTAGTGGGCGGCAAACACGTCCATGCAAGTCTGAACCACACGCACGGCGCCGCTCCGGCCTACCAGCGACGACGGCCGATAACCGACACATTAATCATCGCCCTGCCCATTGCGGTGAGCGTCTTCGTCGTGCACTGCTATACGTATACGAGTCCGTACTGGCCCGTGTCGGCCATGGAGATTATGCAGGGACACCTGTCACGACGGCCAGCCTTCAACATGTGCCGGCCCTAGCCCAATTGGTAATGCAAAAAAAAAAAGTTGGGCGCAGCGACGTTTGCATTGCGCATCAAGTCGGTGTGTGAGCAGTTAAGTGGGTGAGTGGGTACTTCTCGCACTTTGGCTCACTGCCAAGACACCTTCATCGGGGACCCGATTTCACATATGACGACATGGGGCGACCCTCTATCTCCGTTACCTCCTACCCTGCAGGTGGATTTTTGACCACGCAGCTCGTATCTCCAGACGTTGGGTATATGATTTCTTAACGAGAGCTTACCCACAACCCATCTGAGTCAGCTGCGGAGCATAGCAAGCATTCCCCAATTCCTCTTTGTCTCGGTCGCTTTCGCTGCATCTTTGCACAACTTTCCCAGTCCTCTTCGTTCAGCGGCTTGATACCTAGTTTTCTTCACTACAGCCCTGCACGCCATGTGGGGATCCTCCATCCCTCCCGCAGAACGAGACAGTCGTCGCAACCCATGGCATGACGACGACTACCTTCGCCATGGAAGAGAAGAAGTGGAGACGCCCGAGCAACAGAGCGAAGAAGAGAGTCCCGACCGCCTTCGACACGAGGGAACATGGGGTGAGCGCGACGCTGGCAGGCTAGACACAAGAACAGCAGCAGATGATCTCGAGGTGCTACGAGGCGAGCTTGCCTCACTCTCCAGGTCACGCTCCTATGGCGAGCAATCACAACGATCCCACCGTCTTTCTCAGACGATTAGTCGAATCAGCGCTCGGCAAAGTTACAGCCGCGGATCAGCTGCACGTGTCGAGGAATGCACCGGCGATGAAGAGGACCAGAAGCCAGATGACATGGGCCGTGCCCTCGCTGATGAGAAAGAAGACGACTTTGAGCTTGGCCAGTTCATGCGCGAAGGCCACTTTGAGAAGCGCAAGGACGGCCGGTCGGCTAAGAAGGTCGGTGTGGCTTACAAGCATCTCACAGTCAAAGGCGTAGGATCTACCACCTCATTTGCAAGAACCTTGCCAGATGCTGTTCTGGGTACATTTGGCCCAGATCTCTACCGCATCGTATCCAACTTCGTTCCGGCGCTCAAGTTTGGCAAACGCGAGCAAATGCGTACGCTGATCCATGACTTCTCTGGTGTCGTCAAGGATGGAGAAATGATGCTTGTGCTGGGACGTCCTGGATCTGGCTGCTCGACCTTCCTCAAGGCCATTGCCAACAACCGGGAGAGCTACGCTGCCGTTGAAGGAGAAGTCTCGTATGGCGGTATACCCGCAGACAGGCAGAAGAAGCAGTTTCGGGGTGAAGTCAACTACAACCCAGAAGACGACTCGCACATGGCCGATCTGAACGTGTGGCAGACACTCAAGTTTGCTCTCACCAACAAGACCAAGAAGAATGAGAAGCACGAGATTCCCATCATTCTCGAAGCTCTTTTGAAGGTATTCGGCATATCTCACACCAAGTACACCAAGGTTGGAGATGAGTATGTTCGCGGTGTCAGTGGAGGTGAACGCAAGCGCGTCTCCATTGCGGAGACACTTGCCACCAAGAGTACAGTCAACTGCTGGGATAACAGTACAAGAGGCCTTGATGCTAGTACGGCTCTTGACTACGCCAAATCATTGCGCATCATGACCGATATGAGCAACCGCACGACGCTAGTCACCTTGTACCAGGCTGGCGAAGGCATCTACGAGGTCATGGACAAGGTCATGGTCATCGATGCTGGAAGATGCATCTACCAGGGCCCAGCACGCGCCGCAAAGCAGTATTTCATAGACCTCGGCTTCAAATGCCCCGAACGCCAAACCACTGCCGATTTCTTGACAGCAGTCACTGACCCCACTGAGCGCCAGTTCCGTCCTGGCTTTGAATACACGGCCCCCAAAACAGCCGAAGAGCTCGAGAAGGCTTTCCGCGAGAGCGAAGCATACAAGAGCGTACTGCGAGAGATTGAAGACTACGAGGCCGAGCTGGAGAGGAGCGGGTATATAGACGCCAAAGAGTTTGAGGGCGCTGTCCGCGAGAGTAAGAGTAGGACGGTGCGCAAGAAGTCGCCATTCACCGTCTCCTTCTTCCGCCAGGTCATCGCTTGTACCCAGCGAGAGTTTTGGTTAACCTGGGGAGACAAAACGACGCTCTACACAAAGTTCTTCATCATTCTCTCCAACAGCCTTATCGTCGGTTCGCTCTTCTATGGCCAGTCTCTGGATACCTCTGGTGCCTTTTCGCGAGGTGGTTCCGGTTTCTTCTCCATCCTCTTCCTGGGCTGGCTCCAGCTGTCTGAGCTGATGAAGGCGGTCTCTGGACGTAACGTTGTTAAAAGACACGAAGACTACGCCTTCTACCGCCCTAGTGCTGTGGTCATTGCACGCGTTGTGCAGGACCTTCCGCTGCTGCTGGCGCAGGTCATTCCATTCTCAATCATCATGTACTTCATGACTGGTCTCGATGTCGACGTCTCCAAGTTCTTCATCTACTTTCTCTTCATTTACACGACGACATTCTGCATTACGGCGCTCTACCGCATGTTTGCCGCACTGTCCCCAACGATCGACGACGCGGTGAGATTCGCTGGTCTTGCGCTCAACCTTTTAATCATCTACACCGGCTATGTCATTCCCAAGACGCAGCTGCTGAATGACTATATCTGGTTTGGATGGATTTACTGGATCAACCCAGTGGGTTACGCCTTCGAGGCCGTTCTCGCCAATGAATTTTCCGACCGGACAATGGACTGTGCTCCTAGCCAGCTGGTGCCGCAGGGACCCAACGTTGACCCAGCATACCAAGGATGCGCCTTGACTGGCGCACAGCCGAACTCGAACAAGGTATCTGGTTCAGACTACCTCAATGTGTCTTTCAGCTACTCGCGGTCGAATCTGTGGCGTAACTTTGGCGTCGTCATAGCCTTCTCTATGCTGTACCTATTGGTGACGGTGATTGCGACCGAGACGGTATCTTTTGTGCAGTCTGGTGGCGGTGCGCTCATCTTTGCAAAGACCAAGCGCGCGAAGCAGGTTGTCAAAGAAGATGGGCCCGCTGACGAGGAGAAGGTTGTCTCTGGTCAGTCAACATCTACTACATCCTCCAACACTGCCCAAGAAGAGGACCAGGCGATGGAGTCCATTTCCAGCAGTGCCAGTGTCTTTACCTGGAAGAATGTTGAGTACACTGTCCCATACCAGGGAGGCGAGCGTAAGTTGCTCAACGGCGTCAACGGATACGCAAAGCCCGGTGTGATGGTTGCGCTCGTGGGTGCATCTGGCGCGGGTAAATCGACTTTGCTCAATACTCTGTCGCAACGCCAAACCACTGGCGTCGTTTCCGGGGAGTTTCTCGTCGATGGAAAGGATCTCGGCAAGGCTTTCCAACGTGGCACTGGTTTCTGCGAGCAAATGGATCTCCACGACGGCACAGCAACAATCCGCGAGGCTCTCGAGTTCTCGGCCATCTTGCGCCAAGACAAGAAGACGCCGAGAAAGGACAAGATTGACTATGTCAACAAGATCATCGACCTCCTGGAGCTTCAGGACATCCAGGACGCGCTCGTCTCTAGCTTGGGGGTTGAGCAGAAGAAGCGCCTGACCATTGGTGTGGAGCTTGCTGCGAAACCGTCTCTCTTGCTTTTCCTAGATGAGCCCACCAGCGGCCTCGACAGCAACTCTGCCTACTCGATTGTCCAGTTCCTCAAGAAACTTGCGCAAGCGGGCCAGGCAATCGTCTGCACCATCCACCAGCCCAGCAGTGTCCTGATCCAACAGTTTGACATGATTCTTGCACTTAACCCCGGCGGCAACACATTCTACTTTGGGCCCGTAGGCGAGAACGGCAAGGACGTAGTCAAGTATTTTGGCGACCGCGGCGTCCAATGCCCACCGCGCAAGAACGTGGCAGAATTCATTCTCGAGACTGCCGCGAAGCCCATCAAGCGCAAAGACGGCAGCAAGATTGACTGGAACGACGAATGGCGCAAGTCCGACAACAACGCGCACATGCTCGAGGAAATCGAGCGCATCAAGAGCGTGCGCAGCAAAGCCGTTTCCGACACCGACCAGGCCGCCCGAGAAGAAGAATCGGAATTCGCTGCTTCCACATGGGAGCAAACGACCATGCTCACCAAACGCACGTTTACGCAGTACTGGCGCGACCCCTCGTATCTCTACGGCAAGCTCTTCGTCGCCGTCATCATCGGCATCTTCAACGGCTTCACCTTCTGGCAACTCGGGCACACGATTGCGGATCTTCAAAACCGCATGTTCACCTCGTTCCTGATCGTGCTGATCCCGCCCACCATTGTCAACGCCGTCGTGCCCAAATTCTACGCCAACATGGCTCTCTGGCAGGCGCGCGAGCTCCCCTCGCGTATCTACGGCTGGATGGCTTTCACCACGGCACAGGTCGTAGCCGAAATCCCCATTGCCATCGTCTCCAGCGCTATCTACTGGGTACTCTGGTATTTCCCTGCTGGACTCCCCACGGACAGTTCGACGTGCGGCTACGTGTTCCTCATGACGATGTTATTCTTCCTCTTCATTTCCAGCTGGGGCCAATGGATCTGCGCGTTTGCGCCCTCCTTCACAGTCATATCCAACGTGCTGCCCTTCTTCTTCGTCATGTTCGGCCTGTTCAATGGCGTCGTGCGGCCCTACGACTTGATGCCTGCCTTCTGGAAATACTGGATGTACTACGTCAACCCGGCTACCTACTGGATCGCAGGCGTCCTCGCTGCTACGCTAAACCGCATCCCGGTTCGCTGCGCTGATTCCGAATCCGCTCTCTTTGATCCCCCGCCGGGCTCCGACTGCGCGACTTACGCTGCCCACTTCATACAGGCTGCCCCGGGCTACCTGAGTAATCCCACTGCACACTCGCAATGTCGCTACTGCCCCTATACAACCGGTAGCGATTACCTGGCTACGCTGCATATTGATGCCGGCGACAAGTGGAGGGACTTTGCTATTTTCCTTGCCTTCTGTGTGAGTAACTGGGCGCTCGTGTACTTTTTTGTTTGGAGTGTGAGGATTAAGGGGTGGAGTTTTGGGTTTGGCGCCCTGCGACGCTGGGTGGGGAGCGTGAATAAGCTTGTTGGGGGGGAGGGGCAAGGGTAAGGGTAAGGGGGGTGAGGACGTGGCGTGAGTGGTGGTGGTGGAGGGTGGAGGGGCGGCGGGAGGGGGGGGGAGGGGGGACACGAGAAGACGAGAAGGAGGGTAGGTGGTGGAAAGGAGAGAGAGAGAGAGAGATGAGAGAGCATGATTCAACAAAGAGTATATTCCCATGTCCCTTTTGAATAATGAAAAAAGATGAAAAAAGCTATGCTTTGCATGATAAAGTCTTTATTTTTTTTCCTTTTTTTTTAAAAAAAAGCAGACGATATAATGACAGTCCCTACACACATACATGCATTCCTACAGTGGATTTGAACAAACATGGAGTAAAAGTGAGTTTGTATTTCATAACCTGCTCTCTCTCTCTCTTTCTTTCTCTTCCTTTGTAGCCATATCAGAGCAACGATAAAAAAGAAACTCGCGAAACCCATTGATTCATTTGTTGTTGTTTCCAATTGTCGTCGTCGTCGTCGACAAAAAAATACGTTCATGTCAGATGGATGTATATATGTATGGCGTAACTCCAACTTTGTTCGAGCCATTGCAAAAACCCCGGTTTCCCTACCTTTTTCACCTTGAACGCCGTGTAAATGCCCGATATAACCATCTTTTGCTGTCATTGTTGTACTGCAAATGCCCACATGCTTTCTTTCATGCATTCAAACAGTGCGTGCTTAGAATCGCTCCTTCATTCTTCCAGCAACGGTGCGTAGATTGCCGTATACCTTGCTTGGGTCCTGACCGAGAATCAAACTGACAATGGATTCGCGAGCAATGTGGATGTTCTTGAAGCCGCCGAGAATGTGGATTTTCTGGTCTGCGAGGACGACTGGGACGGGTTAGGGGATGGGATGACACATGGCTGTGAGATGATTAGACGTACCTCTTGTTCTGCTGGCGTTTTCAATGGCGAATTTGGTCTTGCCGTCTTTGCCGGCGATACGGCCGATTGCTCTGCTGAGATGTTCGCCTGAAAGTGATTTTACATCCTGGTGTTGAGTTAGTGGCTGTGACGGCATAAGAATAGACAATCCGTACCTTGATTTCAAACGTCTCAATGTACAAGTCGTCTAGCCTCAGTAGCTACAAAGTATTAGTTTTTGTAAGTTCATCCGGATAGGAATGTGCATACCGCAATGGCATCGTCTGTGTCGAAGCCAAGAGTGAATGCCTTGACACTGTAGGGGTCAGCACATATTCTGCTTGTAGACAGAGGTTATTGTCTGCAAAGCACTGCTCTACCAGCACACAGCCTGTCAAGACATGGGCCAAACGTACAAGTCTTCTCCCTTCTGGAGAGCGCCCGTGTCGGTTGTGGCGCCAGAGGTGCGGAGCTCGACGCTCTTGCTTTTGATATTCATGCGCACTTGCAGCTTCAGATGCTCGACCAGCGGAGGGTAAATCTTGGGCCATTCGTTCTTGAGCGGAGTCATCCTGTGCGGCGGAATGGGCACCTTGCGCTGCTCGCGGCGGAAGGCGAGGGGTATCGACTTGGCGGCGGGGAACTTGGGCTTTCCGCTCTCGTCGACCATGGCCTCGTCTTCGGTGGGCGCTTCTGGCGCGGCGTGGGCGGCGTCTACTGGGTCGATGCTCATGGAGATGAGGTCGCCGTCGGATTCGGCAGGGAGCGAGACGGCGTCGGCGTCCATGGCGACATTGTCGGCAAACTGGTCGGGGCGGCGCTGCAGGGCGGTGGGAGCAGGCATGTTGGAGGGCGTGGTCGAGGGCGCGGTGTGCGAGTATCAATGGGCGAGGTGAATGTCTCTGGGCGGCGGCGCAGCGCGACAAATGTTGGTGGGGCTAGTCAAGAAATTTGGAGAGGGCAGGGCGGCGCTGGTGGGCTATGCCGGAAGCGGACTAGCGGCTTGGGCGAGTGTCCCTCTCCCGCCCGCCCGCCTTCTTTTTTGGCTTGCATGTGCTGGTGCAGTCAATCAGAGCAGATGACGTGAATCTTCGTCGTCGCTCTTCCTCGCATCGCCAACCCTCCCGTTCGCAGCCCCATCGCCTTCGCCTTCGCCTCCTCCCTCTGCCTGCCAACGTCGACCATGTCCCCGCCGCGGTTATCATGAACAAGCATGTGGGAACGCTCGGCTTCCTGTGGCGCCCTGTCGCTGGCCACCTGCTGAGAGAGAGGGCTGCCGTCCCGCGCCCAGTGCTTGCTGCGTGGGCACAGGCATCGTCATTATCGACTTGGTCGCTGTCAACACCATGTCGGCTTCACATCACGCCCTCGCCATACCTGGCCTGCTTTCCGCCCGCACCCAAGCCCCGCACACACCATGTCCAGCAGAGCGTCACTGCCACCCTCTCCGCAGCCTGGACCCGCCACGCCTCGTCCAAGGCCTCGCGCACACTGAGAAAGCACAGGAGCAGCGGCCGCCGCAACAAGAGCTCAGTCACGCCGGGCTCATCCCAGAATAAGCCTTCTCCGCCCGCCCAAGCACCGCAGGCCAATTCCTCGTCCCAGCCCAATGCGCCGCCCACGTCGTCCAAGCCAGCACCGGAAGAGCAGCCCGACACGCCAGAGGCCCCAAGGCACCTCCTCGACCGCCTGCCACACCACCTACCACACCTATACCGCCCCAGCAAAGCAGAATTGCTGGCGGCTGCCTCGGGCTTCTGGTCGCGCATCAAGATCCACTTCAAATGGCTCACCATTCGGAGCACCCGTCCTTTTAACGCCGATGAGATCTACGCCCTCTTCTCATGGGTCATCGCCGCTCATGTACTATGGATCATCCTGGGAACTACGACATTTTTCATGCTGACCATCTTCCTCGTCAACACAGCCTTTTCGCAGGAGACGGTCGGCAAGTGGATTGGCAACTACCTGACAAAATCTTCGGGCATCAAGGTCGTCTTCGAGACGGCCGTGGTGCCCAAGTGGGGAGACGGTGTCATTTCCTTTCGCAACGTCTTTGTTTCGCGCCGTCCGGGACAAGGCACAGGCAAGGTTAGCAAGGGTTCGCAGACAGAGATGGCTGCTGCCGCTGCCGCTCGGGCTCAGCATGAAAAGGATGCCCACGATGCGTCTTCAGGCAAGACAGAACCAGAAGAAGACACAAACTACACGCAGTTTGACATTTCCATCGACACTGTCAACATCACGCTGTCCTTTTCCAAATGGTTCAACGGCAAAGGTCTCTTGGAGGATGTTGAGATCAAGGGCATCCGCGGTGTAGTGGATCGAACTTCAGTGCGCACCATTGAAGGCGTAGACCCCAGGTCATACAAGCATGAGCACCAGCCTGGCGATTTTGAACTCGACTCTTTCAGAATAGAAGACCTACTGGTGACCGTCTACCAACCCAACGGCTTCCGCCCCTTTTCCGTCAGTATCTTCTCGTGCGATCTTCCTAGGCTCCGAAAACAATGGCTTTTCTACGACTTCCTCTCCGCCAACATGATGTCTGGTTCTTTTGATAATTCGCTCTTCACCATTCACCCCCGACAAACCCACAACTACACGGGCGCCCAGCTCAGCAGCGGTCGTGATTCGGTGGACGGTAGTTCCTGGAAGAAGCACAGCCGGATACGCATCGACGGGCTCAATATTGACCACCTCAACCGCGGTTACGAGGGCCCATTCTCGTGGATCTACGAAGGAAACGTCGACATTGTAGCAGATGTCATGTTTCCCAATGAAAACGATGACAGCATTGCCAAGGTCATGTCTGACATGTACGACCGCGTCGAAGCCACCGTCACGCAACAGCGCAAGCATCACTTTTCCGATCACATAGTCCAGGGCTTTGACGAACATCATCCAGATGACAAGGTTCACTCTGCCGCCGAGCAACAACAAGAGCGTTACATGATTATGGATATGCGCGTCCATCTCAACGATGTCCGTGCCGCCGTCCCCATCTTCACAAGGGACATTTCCTATGTCAACAACGCACTTGTACGCCCCATTGTGGCATACATCAACTCGAGTCGTACATTTATCCCCGTCAACTGCAGGGTCGTCAAGAAAGTCGGTGAGTTTGACGGCAGTTGGACCTTGTACGATAGCGGGCTTATGGAAGAGGTGTCGAAAGAAGTAAGTCTATACCCGTTCCTGATTTCATCATGTGCTGACCAGTTGCTCGTAGATGTACGATGCCTTTGCCCGCGATGTCCTCGAGGACCGAACCACGCGCAAACGCCGCATAAAGAAGGTGGGAATTTGGACCCTGCAACTTGCAGCCCAAGCCCTCTTTCTCGGCCTCGCTGGAAATATTGCATAGACTTGATGATACCCCCCCCCTGATGCATGACATGAAATGAAGAACCCCAAGAGGAAGGGGAAGAAGAAAAAAAAAAGAGAACTCTCTTCTTTGTGTAATATACAATAAATAAATATAACGGACTATGCACGGCGTTTTCTTTGTTTTACAAGGGCAATGGGCGCTGTTAGTACAACAAGAGTTGCTGCGCATTTGTAGCTGATGTTGATTAGTCTACGTTTGTATACATAGACATGAAGTATGAATTGATGAAGCATGACTCGAATGCCCGTTTTATCGGTAATCTATCAATCAATCAATCAATCAATCAATCAATCAATCAATCAATCAATCAATCAATCAATCAATCATTTATTCATCGATTGCTGATTTCATCTCGTCTCGTCTCCCAACAAAAACTGCACTGACTTCGCGCCCATCCTCGCCCCACACGCGCTCACACGGGATCCACTGCACACCACTACCACCAGCACTAGCTCTCAACACGGCAGCGAGCTGTGCGTGATAGGGAGAGGTTTGGCTGATGTATATAGTCGCTGTCGCCCAGTTTGAAGCACCCTCTAGCCTCCCATTACTCTTACTCTTACTATTAACACCACCACACCCCAACCTCCCCAGCAACTGCACATCGCTTTCGGCGCATATCTCAAGCGTGACAAAGCGTGCCAGCGACGCAGCGACGCGCATGGTGCTCAAACACGCTGTTTCTGGGTGGCGCTCTCGCTGGAGTTCAAGCGTAGATGTAGTAGATGTAGAAGCCAGGCCTGTAGCGCTCCACTCGATATCCACGGCGCGAGGTAGTGCTTTTACTTGTGCTGCGAAGCACGGGGGCGGCGGCAGACGGGATAAGTGTGAGGAAGGGATAGTAGTGCGGGGCGTGGCGTCGTTGAACGTGAGTGTGTGAGTGTGAGCGTGGGAATTGAGTTTATCCCAGGGATCTATATCTTCGTCGTCATTATCGTTATCGTTATGGGGGTGGGAGTCGGATACACGGGAAGCAGCAGCGTGGATATGGCTCCAGAGTTGTTGGGCCGTTTGCACGCAGAGCTGCACACGGGCCGCAGCGAGACTTGAGGGGATGAGAGCCACGGCGGCAGTCCAGCAGCGGACGTGTTTGGCGCGGCCTATGCGCCATAGATGCTGCAGGGAAAGCGTGGCTTGGCCGGCGAAGCCGCGTGCGGTGTATACTTCCATGGAGGCGGGGACAAGCGGGATTTGGCCGGCGATGTAGACGGTTTCCAGGGTCCCCGCGGAGGAGGAGGAGGAGGAGGAGGTACATGAAGGGTGGTGAATGGGTAGGGGCGTGGAAATGGCTTGGCTGTAGGGACCAATGTTTGCGGGGGCCCAGTAGCTGCGGCCCTGGACGTGGAGGCCTTGTCGGGGTTGGTGCTGTGAAGAGGAAGAGGGAGAGGGGTTTTTGTCCAAGATGACGCTGAGCATTACATCTATGCCTTTTGGCAGGAGGTTTCCCACTGCGACGGTGACGCGGGCGGGTGGGTTCACGTGGGTGAAGTACTGGGCGTAGATGGGGTTTAAGAGGGTGAAATCCGACATGTCGCGCAGGAGGAGGGTGCAGTGGTTCACACTGGCTTTGCAGAGGTTGCAGTGCTGCAGGACGTGGTCGAGGCGGAGGAAGAGGCTTGTGAGTTGGCGGGCTGGAGACGAGGCTGCGTGGACATCGCTTGTGAGATTTGAGTATGTGAAAGCGGTGGGTGTCTCGCTGGCCATGTTCCTGGGGAGGTGTTGGGCTGGAGACTCATGGCTTGCTTCAGTGGTGATAGTACACTGCGCGGTATCATCGGCCACAGACGCGCCCTCTTCATGGCTAGGCTCTAAGATGTCGAGGATTCTTGCAAACTCGTCGTCGAAAAGGTCTGGGATCCTCACGGCCGCAGTACCCGCCTCGTCTCCCCCAGTCTTGTCCTCAACACTACTCGCTTGGACCTGGAGCACCGTCTGCCCGCCGTCAACGAGCAACGGCGGCCCAGCGTGGATGCGAATTCTCTTCTTCCACAGCGGGCGTGGCCCGTCGAGAGCCAGCGTCTCAAACTCTCCCCCCTCGCCTAGGATTGCACCATCACCGGCGTCACCAAACCGGGCCATTGCTCTGGCTAGCCTCGCAATGGATGCCGGGGCCGCGACGTCGAGGCCCAAAAAGGCCTCGTCTAGGCCACCAGACGCCGTCTTGATGATGATTGCTTCTTGCCCAACGGCAGACATGTCATGCAACAGGGACGACTGCGTGTACGGCGGGAGCAACGGATATTGCCACAGGTACGACAGCGGCGTGAGGCCCAGCCTAAGGGCAACAGACTCGACACGGGTGCGCTGATAGGTGCTCAAAATGGCGCCTGTAGACACGGCATTGGCGTGGGGATGGTCGTGCATGACGCGCTGGAGCAGCGGGACCAGATCTTCAGTCTCATCGTGCTGCCGTTGCTTCTGCGACAAAGGCGACGTCGGCGGCGCCGCATAATCCCGGCTCGAGTCTACCGCTGTGCCCGTAATCTCGCGTCGATACAGCGGGAGTCCTAGCGCCTGCGCGTAGAGGGGAATGACCGAATGGCCGACCGTCTGGTACATGTAGCTGTTGATGTCGTCGCCGCTGTCATTGTTGCCGGGCGCTGGGTGTAGGTTGGCCAGTGCCACGACGCTGTGGCCGTTTGCTTGACAGTGGAGGATGGAGAAGAGCGAGTCTTTGCCGCCCGAGATCAATGCAATGACATTGAGCGGCGACGGCATGGCGCACAGATGAAGACGGCGGCACCCGACATGCAACGAGGAAAGGCGACGCTGGTGCTGGTGCTGGTGCTGGTGCTGGGGTTGAGGGCGGGCCGATGCATGAAAAGTAGTCATGCAGGCCACAGGTTACTCGCTAAACAAGATTAGCCCCACGCTAGAAGCCGGTCCTGTATTCTAAAAAAGTAAACTTGACCAGTACAAAACCCTCCCAGGTTGCGGCCTGTACTCGCCACACGTTTGCATAAAGGGCAGCAAAAAAGCCCTCTTTCCGAGGATTACGCGGCTCACGGGTTCACCGGAAGGGCAGGCAGAAGCAAACAAAACACTGTGTCCAAGTGTCGGTGTAACATGATTTTTTTTTTGCTATGATAGTCGGACAGTGCCAGCACCTCTAACCTACAGTCGGCTACGACAAAACTTGAAAAAATAAAGGATTTGCCGAGCAAGGGTAACAAGTCAGACGATTACATGTGTATGGTGGATGAAGAAAGAAGCGAAGATTCCCAGAATGTCAGAGCGCGTGCGGAGAGGCCGCAGCGCAATTACAACGAGTGTAAAACGCGCAAGGATGTAGGGTGAACAAGAGGGCAGCGCGGCGACAATGGCCGGTGAGGAGGGTAGGTAGTGGCCATGTCGTCATGAGAGAAAAGAAAACCAGAGAGGCTAACAAAAAAAAACACCAAATCTATCCGTTCTGCCAGTGTTACCCAATCTCCCCGCCCCCGAAAACCCCAAAGAAAAGTGCCAAGCCCAAATGTGAAAACCCGCAGTGAGGTGGTGAAGAAAGAAGCTAAGCCCGAAGTGTCTTCTCAGCCACATTCAAAGGCGTAGATTACAAGGGGAGAAGGAAAGCAAGGAGCTTTTGATGATCAGTAGGAGACTTTGACCGCCAAAAGAAACCTGTGCCGCGTGTCTAGCGATGGCGCCATTGCGTATCGACGTCAAGGTAGACGAACTAGCCACCTAGCATGATGCAAATGTCTTCTACCGGATGTTGTGAATGTCATGAAGGGTCGTTAAAAGTTGAAAAGAGAAGCGTGGCAAAGGGGCACAGGTGCCTACTCGTTCCTCTTGCGCTTCTTCTGGCTGGGTGATGACTCGTGCTCGGATCCATCTGAGCTTGATGTGGGGATCTCTGCAGCGGCATTGTAGAGGATCTCACCCATTGTAGAAGGGGCCTGGGCACCAAAAGCACCGGCCTGGCTGTGTTGCATCTCTGTGTGGTGGAAGTCTGAGCCCATGACCTCGAGGCTGACGGCACCCGTTCCGTGGGTACGCTGGTGCTGCGACAGGTTGTCGCTCCTCGAGAACTTCTTGCCACAGTCGGTGCACTCAAAAGGCTTGTCGTGAGTGTGGAGAGAGCGGTAGTGGCGTTTGAGATGTTCTTGGCGGCGGAAGCGGCGGGAGCACAGGGTGCAGACAAACGTCTTGGAAGGGTCGTCAGTCAGAGACTGCTTACGGCCACGGCGGCTGGTGGGCGCGACGGGAGTCGTGTTCTCGTCAGAGCTTGAGACAACAGCATTCTCCGCTTGACCTGATTCTTGTTGGCTCGAGGCTCCAGACATGGTGTTGTCATCACCGGATGTCTGTTGCTTACCCTGGAAGTCAGACTCGGTCTCACCGAAGCCCGAGCGAGCCTTCTTGACAGTTCGCCTCTTGGACACAGCAGCCGCTGACATGTTCTCAAAGTCGCTGGCAGCAGGAGTGATAGGCAGGCCGTGGACGAGCTCCTCCTCAAAGTCGGTAAAGCTCTCGTCGCTGAGGAAGTCGTCTTCAGGAGAGAAGGCACCGAGATCAGTGCGCTGGCGCTTGTTGCCGAGGAACTGAGTGTTGTCGGTAGGGAAGTTGACAAGACCGTTGAAGTCGTCCTCGCAGTCGAGCTCGAACAGGGGCTCAAAGGTGGGCAGGCCGTTGAAGTTGGACGTCTGGACAGACTCGATGCTGTCCGCCTTGGCCGTCTCGCCCTTGAGGACCACCTTGTGCTCTTCGTCACCGGGGCAAAGTGTGACAATGGGAAGCTCAGACGCCGCTGAAACAGTGAGGTCGCGGGGGTTGCAGAAGTTGTTCTCAGCCTCGGCAACCGTGGTGCGGGGCAGAGGTGATGGAGAAGGGGACAGAGAAGGGCAAGAAGTGGCAGAAAGAAGGTATGAGCCTGGGTTGGACGAGGGGGGCTGAATGTAGACTGGGAGACGCGTTAGCCGAGTCGATTCACGCATTCACAGAGGGGTTGGCGGGCGGGCGACAGGTGAAGGCAGCGGCCAACCGCCCACTTTACGCAAAGTGGACGGTTGTGAAGGAGAGAGAGAGAGAGACATACCTGGAGTCATGGGTGGGGTAGTCGAACGCCACTCGAGGCCAGCAGAAAGAATCTCGGAAAAGACCTCGCCTTCGCAGCCTTGCTTGACACCCTCCATGCCCTCGCCGGGGAACATGTCGTGCAGGGGAGTGGGCAGAACATCGCACGATGAAGGGCTGCTGGTGTTGCTGGCGCACGAAGAAAGAGGAGGAGTGGCGGGAGAGAAGGAGTAGTCGGTGTCAATGGGGTGAAGGTAAGGCGAGTCCTGAGGTTGGATCAAGATGGCCGGCTTCTGGTACATGGGCTGGGGCGAGGCGACGGGAGTCATCATCTGGCTGGCGTAGGCTGTGTGAGGATACGACATGTGCGAGTTTGCCGATGTTGGCCTCTGGTAGTACATGTTTTGTGCTTGAAAGGTTGCCTGACCGGAAGGGTGGGGTGTGAAGTGACCGTGCTGGCGCGTGTTGTTCTCGCCTTGGGGGTCTGGGTTGTAGTAGAAGAATGGTGACTGCATGGCGTGGGTAGGGTGGATAGGGTATGAGCCTTCCATTGCAAGAGCGGGAATGGGATGTGTGTGTGTGTGTGTATGTGGTTGTTGGAGTCGAAGAGCCGGATGGGTGTGTGGTGTGTGTAAATGGGGTTGCTGGTAGGGTACCGGGAGAAGAAGAGTAGGAGGGACGAATTAGTAGTAGTAGTAGTGTAGTAGTGTAGTAGTAGTGGTGGTGGTGGTGGTGTTGGTGGTTGGCTGTAGGGAGGATGCGGTCTTGGGGGGTAAGAGAGGGTGGGAAGGAGTGACTGTGGAACGGGTCGTAATAACGAAACCGTCACTTAATAGATAATAAAGGTCAAAGAGTGTGAGGGCACAAAATTATGAGCCAAGATGAAATGGTGAACAGCGATGGCGGAAAGAAACGAGAGGGGCGTGGTTGATGAACCTTGGACCAGGGCAGGCCAGTGAAAAAGAGAACTGATGAGCACACACTCCAGGACGGCTCGCTTTAGTGCGTCGGGGCGCAGCGCGCTCCACATGCCAGCTAGGAATGGGATCCTGCATTAGACCCTAGGCGTGACTCGCGTCAAAAGCAGCGAGTGCATTGATGCCGGGGTTTGGGGCCTAAAATTATTCGCCCAATGCATAGCTGCATGGGGCTTTAGGCGAAATGAGATGTGCGCGGCGGTTCCGGCCAGCCTGCGCGTATTGGCTCAGGTGCCGTGGCCGTGGAGGGTCGGCCTGCGTAGCCTCAGCCTGTGCCTGTCTGTGCCTGTGCCTGTGTGTATCGCCGCCGCCGCCGCCCGCCGCCCGCCGCCCTCTCCGAATGGCGAAGCAGCCACGCCAGCTGAGCAGTGCGGCGGTGCCTGTCTCTCTGTCTCGCTCGCGCGCTCTCGCTGTTGCCGCCGCCATGCCGTTGCGACGCACCGCGCGCGCAGTGCTGGCCGCTGCTGCCGGCGAGTGGATGTGCGACTCTCGCTGTGTGTGTGTGTGCGCGCGCGTGGTGCGTGGGTGTCGGGTGCCAGTCGTGCCAGACACACTCTCCCACTCCTCTCCTCGCCTCTCACACGACTCCAACTCGGCTCCAAATTAGCGCGACCAGGTTTCAATCAGCCTATCATGCTATCTGCCAATCGATAATGACGATAGCAGCCAGACCCTGTCGCTTGGCCCTCTGTTTTGAAACATGTACGGCTCTTCCGCTGCTGTCGCGATGCGGATGGGCGACGTCGACGCATGTCTTGATAACGCCGCGCGCCTCCGTCACACACCAAACACGGCCGCACCGCCCGCAGTATCACCGCTCTCGCCCAGTGCAGAAGCAACGCGGATGACGGTGGTAGAGCCCATGTCGTCGCCGCCGTCGTCGTCTTGCCCGTCCGCCTCGTCATCTGGCCGGCCCTGCGACACTTGGCCATGCTTTCCCGCGCCGGCGCAAACAGAAAAAGAGCGGTAGCGACGTCTCACGATGCCCAACAGCTGCACCCCCCCAACCATGCGTCCTGCGAGCCTAAAGTCATGGAGCGACATCGCGCAATGTTTCCTGCAGCGAATGCAGAAAGTAAATCCTTTGCCACACGCGTCGCCCAACGCTGGAGCGAGACTGGCCACGCCCGGCTCACGCAGAAACGTCAGCCATGATGCAAGACGAGCAGCCGCCGTCTCCCAGTGGCCAGCACCACGTCTATCCTGGATGGTGCGACAAGGTCGTGTGCAGGTCAGCTGCACGTCGCCACCATTGCGGTGCCGCTTCTGTGTTTTTTGTCCATACACATACGTCGAGCGCGTCCAGAGGGGGGGACGGGAGACGACGCATGGTGCGAAGTCCATATAGTTGGTGCTGCTGCTGCTGCTGCTGCTGCTGATGATGATGATGATGATGATGATGTTGCTGCTGCTGCCTCTGCTTGGGTGGCATGCCATCGAGTGTTTCAGACGCGGCCTTTTTTTTTTCCTTCTTTTCCTGTTTTCCCACATGGCACCAGCACCAGCACCGCACCAGGCCAAGGCAGCGGCTGAGGTAAGCCCAATAACGCATGAAAAAGGACCATGGATTTGCCGCGCTCTTGGTGGTGATGGTGGTGGTGATGGCAGCAGTAGCGACAGTAAGCATGCTGGTGATGACGATGAGGGCGGCGCTCGATTGGGCGGGGCGGGCTCAGTTGTGCAGGCCGGGGGGGGGGGGCGCGTACAAAAGCCGGCACAAAATAGAAACGAGCTATTGAATGCGAGCGGATGCAGAGTTGTGAAGCCGCCGCCGAGGCCTAAATGGGCGCGAGGTAAAAGCGGCGCGACTGGGGCGGGACAAGCGTTGGTCGAGTCGAACAGGGCCGAAGACATGGGCATGGCCGCCGTCCCCCACATTGGCTGCAGCCGTCATGGATGCAGCATAGCGTCCTACTGCAGGAACGATGCAGGAACAAACGGCAGGCACGCCCTCTGCACGCCTGCGCCGGGCCTGCGCCTATGCCTGCGCGTGCTCTGGTACGGGTGCAGCGAGTACATGTAGGGCTAGGCTAGTCGAGTAGCAGGCCATATCTACTCCATGTGCCTAGCTGCGCTCCCAGCCATGTACAGAGGGAGGGCGGGACATGGATGCGCGTGCAGACCGACTTCTCTCGCCTGGCCTGCTGCTTATCGCGACCCCAGGAAATGCGTGCGTGCTAGTAGGCGGCCGTAGCAGTAGGGCTAGCCGGCAGCAGCACGAGATGCAGCAGTCGCAGGAGCCTGCTGCAGCTGCTGCAGAACAGCGGTAATGCTGCGTTCGTGGGGAACAAGGCGGTGTCCGTCTGCCTGCGCCTCGCTCTTCTTGTGGCCGTCGGTCTGATGCTGCTACTGCTACTGTTACTGTTACTGTGACTGTGACTGTTACCGCTTCACGCCCAGGCGTACATGGTGTGCAATCTTCCACGGCCACGGTCACGGTCCCATACGACGGCGACTCGACAAGGGCCCAGCAGCGACTCGCGGCGGCGGCGGCGGCGGTGGCCAAGTGCCGTGTCGTTTTCTCTCTCCGTGGCCATGTCCATGTCCTTCGCCATGTCTCTCGCGTTGCCGTCCCCGCTCTCTTGTCGCGCGTCTTGTCTTGTCGCGCCCTTGGGCTGGCCGCGGGTGGGTGTGTTCAGGTGTGCGTCGCGGTCCCGGCCACCGCCTCGGCGTCGGGGAAGCAGGCATGGCTTCCTTAGCGTCGGCCCACCCTCGCGCGGCCGCCCCACTCGGCGCGGCGCTGCCATTGGGCGCGCCCCGCCAGGCCCTGATCTTCCGCTATTTGAGGAAGGTTTCCAGGCTGGCGGGGTCGTGGCTTCCATCCCGCTCGCCCATGGTTTGACCATCCAGGCCAAGCGGCCCTTTGACTCGCCGCCCATGCCCTTCGGATGTCTTGCCACGCCATCCGCCGTGTCCACCAACTCAAATCGTCAACCCAGTAGTCAGCACCAGCGCCAGCTCCCCCAGCCTGCTCGTCAACTGTGCCACTCTCGTCGCTCTGCTCGCGTCTGTCCCGTCAAGCCCCGCGCACGCCTGTGTCGTGGCCCATGTGTAATGTGTGTGTGTGTGTGTGTGTGTGTGTGTGTGTGTGTGTGTGTGTGTGTGTGTGTGTCTGAGGCAAACGGATGGCCTGACTCCGCCCGCCTGCCCTGGTCGCCGACAACTATATGCCACTATCGACTATTACACACGCCTTACCACGACGGCGGAGATAGCAGCAAAGCCCACGTGTCTGAGTTTTGGGAGCAGGCCATGGCGTAGCCACCTCGACCGCCTGTTCGTCGTCGCAGCGGCAGGTCCGGCAGCGACGACGACGGCTCGAGAAGGCGGACCCTTGCAGGCAGTTCCACTTGCCGTCAGACCCAGACGAGACGCGTGTGGTGGTGGTGGTGGTGGTGGTCGAGGGCTGGTGGGCTGGTGGGCAGCGGTCGCCAGGTCGTGGGCCCGCGGCACATTGGCCTGCGCAGCGTCTGGGCTGCGTGTTACAAGAAGGGTCGTCCTGGGCGCAAGCACGAGACGCTGCACTGCATAGCATTGTGGCATGCATTCCGCACAGCGCACGCAGCACGGCGTGTGGGGAAGCAAAAATATTCCAGAAGGCCCAAGGCACGGCACCAAAGGCACGGCACCCACTCGCACGAGATTGCAAACGAGCCACACCCTTGCGCGGGCATAACGCGAATTTCGTTTGGCCTGCCTGGGGGGAGCGCGGCGCCCGTGCTCGCGGTCCCGATGGGTCGACGCTGCGATCTGCCAGCTGCCTCATACGGATGACAAGGCCGTCTGTCAGAGCCTCTTGGGCCATAGCAGCATCGTGCCCGCGTTTCACAGGGCCCCAAGGCGATCGTGCTGGCGCGGGTACCTCGATGTCGGTACAGCCAGCAGAGACACGGAGCGTCTGGGGGGGCTGCGGATTCGAGGGACGGATGGCATCATCAGCACCGCCATCAGCAACAGCTGGCAGCATTGGCATCCGAGGCGGCTGGCCATGGTGGGCGTGTGGGCGTGTGGGCGTGGGTGGGTGGGTGGGTATGTGCGGGAGTGTGGGTATAGGCCTGAGTGTGTGGGTGCGGGTGTGTCATGTCATGTCGTGTCGTCCATGTGCGTAGGCGTAGTCGTGGTCGTGGGTGTGGGCATGCATCGCCGTGGGTGATAAGCAACACGGCCGCCGCCATTGTCCTTGTGGCTAGCCGTGGCTGGCTCGGGACGATTAGGCCCGCGCAATCCATTGTCCAAAGGCCTCCATGGCTAATAGCGTCCCCTACGGTGCGAAACGTTCGGCACGTCGCGCCTGGGCACATGGCTGCCATGTCTCCGCCGCGCCATGATTCGACCCGGCTGGCGTGTGGTGCAATCCACGCGCTGGCCCAATCCAATTCGCTCAACATCTCGGCGAGACAGCAGCGAGCTCGTACCATCAGGGTCTTGCAACGCTACGGGTCAAACCGTCCGTAGACGGCTAGCAACTGTGCTTCCCAAATAGCAAAAAAAAACCCCCCCGACGCTGCTCACCCAGAGTCGCCGCCGATCCAAGCGCAGATCTTGGGCACAGGAAGCGCGGCGACGTCGATGATCGCAATTCAAACTGACGCATATCAGCACAACCAAAGCCATTGGTGGAGGCGCGGGCGGCGAGTGGCACGTAGGGTAGCAGTTGGCCGTAGTAGTCGTGGGTAGCAAAGGATCCAATGGGGCCCGCGGTGACGTCGGTCGAGTCTTGACGTAAAGGCGCAGTCATTCCAAATTGGCCTCCCATGCTGCCGTGCCGGTAGGCGTCGTAGTAGTAGAAATAGTGTAGGAGGAGCAAGCCCAAGTCCAAGTCTCTGGCAGCAGCAGCGGCAGTGTACACCCGAATGCGTGCCACGGTATGGTCGCACGCACCCATGATTCACGAGGTGCGCTTACTAGGCGTCGTCGTGGCAGGCTGCAAACGGTCTGGATTCATTTTACGAGTACATGGAGCCAGACGCAGACGACAGTAGAGGCCGCCGGGGCAAGCTCGATCAAATTTCGAGTCGGTGAGTAGGCCCAGGGCATGAAGCCGCACGTTGCGGTCAGCACGTCGACCAATCCGGCAAAGACGCCTCGACGCTCGGACGCCCAGACGCCGAAGGCTCCTGGCCAAGGGCAGGCCACCGCACATGTGCCGAAATACAATGACCGAAGCAAAAAGGCAAAGCAAACGAGATGGATGCGAGGGCGACATGCCACCCTGCAACCCCAGGTACGACGGCCATGAATCGGAAACACGTGAGCCTTCTCAGCATCAAGTCGAGCCCCCCTCGCCCTCCGCCGCCGCCGCCTCGTGCTCATCGTGCTCGTCGTGCTCATCTTCGGAGCGCGCACGCACGCTGGAGTGTAGCTGTAGCCTCCGACTACGACCCTAGCCGTCTGTCCGTCCGTCATCCGCCCTTTCTGCGCTGCTGAAACAACGGTATTTCCAGCGACGGGCCATCTGAAGCAGCGACGTGCGCCGTTGCGAAGTCGCCATGCCTTCCTGGCACAGAGGCCGTGTCATGGACCTGCGCGCCCTCTCAAATCTGCGAAACATACAGGTGTCATCCAACGGTCGCGTCGAGCTTCCGCCGCACCACCTGTAACACAGGCGTAGCACTTTTGCTCGCGCGCGAATCCCGTGGGGTTGCTGAACAGGCCTCAGAAGGTGGTGATGAGTTGTAATCAGTCGCGGCCACACGGCTACGTCTTACTCTTCCTATCGTGTTGTGGTTATCATCAGCGGCCATGGAAGAGGAGAGCGAGGCTCGCGCCCGGCCGATGGTTTTTTTTTTCACCTGGCTCGCTTCGCCGCGACTCGCCGGCGTCACGTGAAGGCAGGATCGTCACGTGAGCCACGCCGGAAAAACACGTCCGCCGGCGCTAAGCAAGCTCGCGATTAAAATCTCTGCCGCTCTGCGCACCGCATTCCTGCTCCTTATGCGGCGCAGGTCAAAAGTCCGTTTCCCCGGTTGCTCGAGGGTCATTTTCCATGGCCCTTCCAGTGTCTTCGACCTGCCAGAGAGAACATATTGCACAATCTATCATATACACTTTGCGGAGGCGCCTGTTGTAGTGGTGCCTTTGCTGGAAAAAGATAGAACATACCACCAATGCACACAAGATAGCATTGCGAGACGCCGTCTTTGCGGATCCCGCCCGTGAAACGTGGGACATGTGGTCCAACAGCGTCGGAGCTGCAAAGCCGTCGCCAGTGCGTTTCCGAGTGCCCGTCTGCGTTGCTTCTTCGGCCTGGCCCTCTGTACGTCATGGCGTCCGGAGTAGGCTGCATCGCGCACTGCCCAGATGGACCAGTTTCACGTGCACACGGAGGATCCAAGTGCTCACCACACGGCCGACATGATTCATGCGTTGGGATTCCTTTCCTTCTCTTTCCCACGCCGTTTCACCGGCGCGTATAATACTACCTTTTTTAACCGGCTCACGACATGATGCAGGTGCTGCGTGCGGAACGTGCTCGGGACTGCCCAACAACATGGCTTGTTTCACGTGAAAGTAGTCGCAATTCCGACACCTACATGGTACAACCCTCATGCCCCGGACAAGATAACAGCACATGTATGCTCTAGTCCGCTGCTAGTCTTACTCTGTTTCATGTTGCTTCGAGTGTATTATTTTTAAACGACTAGGCCTAGACGTTCCATGTACATATCTTGGTTTTCATATTACCTAAATGTGTCTTGAATATGGAAAAATTAAACATGAGAAAATAAATACCGCCAGTGCCTCCATCGTGTATACATACACACCAGGCCGGTACTGTACTCTTTGAATTATGAGATGTCTAGATGTACTGAACAAGCACGTGAATACTAGTTGAGTTATGATATTCATGCTCGCCTACTTACACGCAGCACTCTTATGCAGGCCACTCATACTAACACAGCCACACCTCCAACACCACACCTACAGTAGGCCATCGGTAAGATGCGTGATGCGGGGAGCGCTGCATAAGCGCCTATTCTCATATCCACCCTCACTGCATATGCAGGGATTGCCAGGAACCGCTCGAGATAATGACGACGCTGAGCAAACGACAACCACTCCAGCATTCGTGCTCGCTTTCGTATCAACAAACGCTCCACACAGCTCAACACACTGCGAGACGACGAAAAAAAAAGCAAATTCCCACTGACATCACGTTGGCGTACTAGACCTATGCATGCGTTATCGATACAGGGTTGTTGGTGCAAAAGGATTTTGAAAAAAGGAATTAATTCAGCGTCACTGATCGACCAAGTGTTGGATAAAAAAAAACCCCCCCTTGCTCAACACATCTACAGGGAACATTACTTGGAAACATTCTCTCCACACCAGCCATGATGTTTTGTGAGAAAATGACAAGTAGCATTTGGAGCAAACGAGTGTATGTGTTGCGATGACGCGTGGTGTCGTGATATCACCTGCATCCGTCTTCTAGCGTGAAACCTTAATAATCCCTTTGTGGGCTGTCCCGCGCGCGCCCGCACCGCAAACGATAGCAACGGCCCCCCCCCAAACTGCTGTTTTGCGCTACTGTTACCCGCATCTTCTCTCTCTCTCTTAATTGCAAGCGACTGCAGAATTAATTGCAATGGCGCCAGGACGTGGTCGAAAACGCGCTGCGAATGCCATTGATCCGACCAACCATGGCGCGTCTGCTGAGTCTAGCTCTCAGCGCGCCCCTAAACATGCGCGCACCTCACATGACCAAGCCCCACAGCCCACACCCGGCGCATCGCAAGCAAACTCCATCTTCATTGACGATGACGAGGATGAAGACGAAGACGACGCCTCGCAGGAGGCTCCTGACGCTACCCAGGGCTACAGCCAGCAGTACGATGAATACCTGTTGTACGGCATCTTGGACAACAATATTGTCGGCGTCAGGTACTACACTGGATACGCCTCGCGCGGCGAAATGGTAGTTCTGCGACGAGAGCCGCACAACCCGTACGATGCAAACGCGATTCGCTTCGACAATGTCGCGGGCCAGCAAATCGGCCATCTTCCTCGGACGTTGGCGGCGAGGCTGGCTAAATACCTGGACGACCGCAGTTTGCTCGTCGAGGCCATGCTCACGGATGAAAAGGGCTACTATGAATGCCCGGTTCAGCTGAGGCTCTATGGTACGAATGATCCCGTGCTGCGGCTCGAACTCATGGCCAGGATGAAGAAGGATAGGCTGCCTGTAGTCCATGCCACCGAGCGACAGCGGAGCGAAGTTGCCGTTGTAAAGGAGCAGCAGCGTAACGAAGCTGCATTTGCAAGAGAGCAACAGCGCAGAGCCAAACAGGCTGCTCGAAAGCAAACGAAAAAGGACCCCGTCCCGGAAATTGTCGGTCCAGAGAACAGCATGGCAGAGTATGCGGCAAGCCTATCTCGAGACGATGCATCACCGGCAAAGCGTAACCTCAACGACATCATCAAGGCCAGCGAGCGATTCAATCCCAGAAACATTGAGCAACTGGCTGAAGACTTTGGAGTCAAGGAGGAAGATTTAGCTGCGATGCCTCAAGCTCCCCAGCCTGATGCTCTTCTCACCGAACTGCGCCCCTTCCAGCTACAGGGTCTGCAGTGGATGCTCGACAAGGAGAGCCCCAAGCTTCCTACCAAAGCCAATCCAAAGCCGGTTCAGCTATGGCGGCCACATAGTCGCGAGCCCGATGTCTACACGAACGTGGCGACCATCTTCTCCGTCAAGAACCCCGCTCTGGCTTCTGGCGGCATACTCGCTGACGACATGGGTCTGGGCAAGACTATTCAGACCATTTCACTCATTGTTGCTGACCGAGCACTGGGCCGCCGCGCCAAAGACGCAACCCATGCTACCTTGATCCTTGCGCCCGTCTCCGTCATGAGCAACTGGAGTTCGCAGATGAAGACGCACATCAAGCCAGAACATGCACTCCGCGTCATGTTCTGGCACGGACAGAGAAAGGAGCCAATCACCCCCAAGGACATTGAGAAATACGATATAGTCATCAGCACCTACGAGTCCATATCCTCTGACTGGTACTCGCAGAAGAAACCTACTGTTCCGCGCAAGTCGGGACCATTCTCCATCAAGTGGCGCCGCGTCATTCTGGATGAGGGTCACAACATCCGCAACCCCAAGGCTAAGAAAACGATTGCTGTCACAAACCTCATGGCTCAGTCGCGGTGGACGCTCACCGGCACGCCAATCATCAACAATCTCAAGGATCTGTACAGCCAGGTTCGCTTCCTGGGACTGTCTTCGGGCGGCCTGGGCTCCTTTGACGTCTTCCACGGCGCCATCATGCGACCAGTCATGCAAGGCTCGGTACACGGTCAGCAGTTGCTTCAGATGCTCATGTCGGATATTTGTCTGCGCCGCAAGAAGGAAATGTCGTTTATCGACTTGCGACTGCCTCAGCTGCATGAATACGTACACAAGATCAAATTGCATGCTCACGAGCAGGAAAAGTACGACGCCCTCGAGGCTCAGGCCAAGGGCCAGCTCGACCAGTACAAGAAGAATATCGGCAAGAAGCAGGCCGCGTCCACATACCGACATTTGCTCGAGGTACTGCTCCGCATGCGCCAAGTCTGCAACCACTGGCGGCTCCTCGGCCAAGAACGTCTCGATTCCATCCTACAGCTGCTCGACCAAGAAGGCGGCATTGACCTCACCGACGAGAACAAGATTGCCCTCCAAAAGATGCTCCAGCTATCCATTGACTCGCAAGAAGACTGTCCCATTTGCATGGACGTCTTCAAAGACCCCGTCATAACAAAATGCACACACACCTTTTGCACGCCGTGCCTGGAGCGCGTCATAGAAACACAGCACAAATGCCCCATGTGCCGCGCCGAACTCGACTCCCTCGAAAGCACCACAGTCAAGCCCGCAAAGGAGAAAGCCGCGCGCGCACAAAAGCCGCCGACCCAAGACGAACTCGCGGACAAAGCATCGCTAGAAAAAAACACAAGCTCAAAAGTCGAGGCCCTCCTCGACATCCTGCGCGCATCGGCGCAAGACCCCACTAACAAGACCATCGTCTTCAGCCAATGGACCTCGTTCCTCAATCTCCTCGAGCCACACCTCGCCGCCCACGGCTTCCACTACGTGCGCATCGACGGCAGCATGACCGCCCCGCAGCGCGACGCGGCGCTCGAAACCCTCGCCTCCAACCCCACCACAACCATCCTCCTCGCCTCGCTCGCCGTCTGCAGCGTCGGCCTCAACCTCGTCGCCGCAAACAACGTCATCCTCAGCGACTCGTGGTGGGCCCCCGCCATTGAGGACCAGGCCGTCGACCGCGTGCATCGCCTGGGTCAAACGCGTGAAACAAAGGTTTTCAGGCTTGTCGTTGAGGACAGTGTCGAAGAACGCGTCCTCGGCATCCAGGAGGACAAGAGACGCCTTATGCGTCTTGCGTTTGCAGACAAGGACCGCCCCGCTAACAGGAAGAGGGACGCGGGTGCCGCTTTGCAGGATTTGGCTAGGTTGTTGGGGACGCAGACCCCCCCCCCCAAAAAAAACGAGAGAGAGACAGAGAGAGGTCTAGTTCTGAATTTCTCTCTCTCTCTCTCTCTCTGCTCACTTGTGGCATTTCCCCCCCCCCCCCCCCTTTTTTTTCCCCTAGACAAGCAGTTCCTGTCCGTCGGCCGCGGCCGCGGCCCCCATCTCCGTCTGCTGCGTCTGCGTCTGCTTCTCTTTCTTTCATACCGCGAGGTTTCTTGTGTACTACTATACTTTACATTACTTTACTTTATCCATATATTTTTTATTATTTTTTTATTTTTTTTTTCGTTGTAACAATCTCCATTTTCCATTTTCCATTTTCCATTTTCCCATTTTCCATTTTCCCATTTGCACGCCTATCAAGGCAAAGATAACCTTTCTCTTTCTCTTCTTTCTCTTCTTTCTCTTCTTTCTCTTCTTTCTCTTCTTTCTCTTCTTTCTCTTCTTTTTCTCTTCTTTCTCTTTTTCTCTTCTTTTTTCGTCTTTTTTTTTCCGAACGTGTTTTATTATATCCACTGCATATTATTGTTTAGCTGTGGAATCCCTATTCCATGGCTCTCTGTTCTGTTCTGTTCTGTGGTGTAGTGTTGTGTTGTAATGTGTTGTATTGTGTTGTATTGTGTTTTATTTTGTTGTGTTGCGATATGTACATAGGATCAGCTCCGAACCAGACCAAAACTAAGCCAAACCAAGCGGCTGTACTGTGATGTGCTGTGATGTGATGTAATGTAGTCATATGGATATGGTTATCCTTCTTCTTTATCCTGCTCTTCCTACTCTTCCTACTCTTCCTGCTCTTCCTATTTTGTTCTTTGTCTTTTTTTCCCCCGCATATCCCATTCGCATTCCTATTCCTATTCCTATTTCCATCTCTTCTCCGTCATTCACCACCTCTTCTTCATCCGGCTCCAGCGGGAGTAAAGGGGGGGGGTGGAGGTAAGAAGAGGTGCTTAGAACAAAAACGACATAGGCACCGATTTGTGGCCGTGGGGCCGTAATTGACACTGAAAAGGGAGGAAAAAAGCATCAGCGAGAGACATACAGGAAAAAAGAGAAAAGAAAATAGAAGAAACAAGGAAACGTGATTTTTTTTTCTCCTTGCTTCCGCCAGTCGGGGTGAGCGGGATGGGAATGATCGAAAGCGCGCGCGTGTGTGAGTGAGTGAGTGTAAAACATATGAATATAAACCATGTATGTATGTGTGTGTGTGTATGCATGCAGCCAGGCAACGCGTCGGCCTCGTCCTCCCCAACTCCGCCTCTTCCTCTCCCCACTCCCCGGACACGTCAAAACTGGACGAAGAGCGGGGGAAACAAAAAAAGAAGGAACTGCACAATCGGGGGTATAGCGCCCAGCACACCGCGACACAGGCGCGCAAGCCGCATGGTCCCGCTTTCAGGCGCCGCCTCGTAGTAGCCGCAGACGACGCTGCCGATTAGCCACGTCCAGAGAAGCACCATGATGACGAGATACCATGATGCGTGCAGGCTGTAGGGGTTGGTGGCCCATTGTTCCCAGAGACAGTGTAGTTGGTAGCGCAGGATTTTGAGCACGGAGATGTTGTCGTACAGGCCCAGGTGCAGGTATCGGCATTTGGAGAGCTGTATGTGGGGGAGAATATCTTGTTTAGCTGGGTTGGGCTGGAGTATGTATTTTCTCATTTTTTTTGAAGGGAGATGAGGAAGGGGGGGAAAAGAGAGAGAGAGAGAGAGAGCCATTTACAGTGCTTCGGTGCGGCTCGTTGGCCGCCGCGTCAAACGCCTCTTGGGCGGCGACTGCTTCGGCTTTCTCGCGCGCTTCCGCTAGGAAGTCTTCAATGTCCAGGATCAGGTACTGTGTTATGATGTCGCGTTGCTTCTGGATCAACTCGGCTTGTGCGATTTTCTCGTCAATGAGTCGCTGGATCAGTGCGTCTTTGGCGGCGAGCTCCGAGGTCGTTTTGGACATGCTGGGTGGTGGTGGGGAGGCTGGCGCGGAGTGCGTTGTTGAGATGGGGGACTGGGGGTGAGGGGAAGAAGGAGAGGGGGGTTTGTTTGGCTGGGCGGAGACTGGTGGGTTGTTGTGTGTTGGTGGAAAGAGTGAGGGTGGTGGTGTGGGGAGAAGGTGCATCACTAGTGTGTGGTGATGGAAGCTGCTATTTTTGTGTAGATGAGTGGTGCTACCAAAGGTCAGATTTTTTTTAAATAGATGTTTTCTGTATATGCATTGCAATGAAAGTTAGAGTAGCTTTGCTATTGCTGCTTCTTGTCAGTGAGTACATATTCGCTCCTCGGATTATTCAGCATCCAGAGCTGATGATGCGGATACTGTACAAATCTTTCGGTACAGTAAAGCTGATATAGGTATGTTGGTAATTTTTTTTTTAAAAAAAAGCAAGTAATAGTAGAATTCTTATTAGTACAAGTTCGGATGTTTGTATGTTTGAATACCATGGTCTGGTCATGCCGTAACTAGTCCAGTTGAGTGCAATGCTGATATCCCCAAGAAATCTCCCCCCCCCATGTTACCACTTTTCATAGGACTAAAAGAGCCATAATTGAATGGCGAAAGCACAGTACCATGATTGTCTTAGCATTGTTCGTCGCGTCATTTGGAAAGCACTTGAACACTGCATCATGCGCGAGGGGTGCCCTATCCCAAGACCAAGATACGCCACCCGTCGTTTCTGCGCGTATGACAGCTCCAGTATTTGCGCACGTAACGTAAAAGATGGTGGATGCTGGCGCAAATGGCTTACTATTGTTCTGCGAGACGTGGTAGAAAAGCGCGTCGTTCCGCCAAGCGACGGAGTTAAGGGAGGTCGACTGGACCCCACCATGGCTTTCTTCAACCTCATTCGCGCCTGGCTCAGGGCCATCTCCTCGCTGCCATATCGCTTCCTGCGCGCTCTTCTCCCCGCGCGTTCGTACTTTGAAGACTTGCTGCCGGGTGGCCACAACAGGATGCCCAAATTCTACCACGACGACGAGGCTTGGGCGGACCTCGAGCCGCTGCCCCAGGATGACGGCGGCGTGCATCCGCTCGCTGCCATTGCGTACTCGGACGAGTACAGCGAGGCCATGGGCTACCTGCGCGCCATCATGGCCAAGAACGAGTTCAGCGAAAGAGTCATCAGCCTGACGGAGCACATCATCAGCATGAACCCCGCACACTACACGGTCTGGTGAGTCGTCGTCAGGGTGCTGCAGCGAGACTAGCACAACCACCATGCATACACTGCTCCAGCACAGCTGCTCATGATGCACAGGCTCTATCGCGCCAAAACAATCGCAGAAATTGGCCGATCGCTGCAGGACGAGATTGCGTGGCTCAACCCGACTGCGCTCAAGCACCTCAAGAACTACCAGATCTGGCACCACCGCCAGACCATCATCGACCAGCTGGGCTCGCCAGAGGGAGAGCCCGAGTTCATCAGCTCCATGCTCGAGCTCGACTCCAAGAACTACCATGTGTGGAGCTACAGGCAGTGGCTGGTCAAGCGCTTCGACCTGTTCGACAAGCCAGAGGAGCTCGAGTGGACGCACGGCATGATTGAGCAAGACGTGCGGAACAACTCGGCCTGGAACCACCGCTACTACCTGGTCGTTGGCGGCCGCGAAGGCACGCCCAGCGCCGCCGTTGCGGACCGCGAGATAGAGTAGGGACCTGGCGCCGCTGCAGCTGGCTGACTGCTAACCCCGACTAGGTATACCAAAGCAGCGATTCGCAAAGCACCCCAGAACCAGAGCCCGTGGAACTATATTCTGGGCATACTCCGCGCAGCCGGGCTGCCCAAGTCGACCCTAAAGGAGTTTGCAGGTGAGTTTGCCGACGTGGAGAAGCCCGACCAGGTGCACTCCAGCCACGCGCTTGATCTTCTGGCCGGCATCTACGCCGCAGAAGAAGACGGTAGGAGGAGAGCCGAGCAGGCGCTGGAGCTGTTGGCAACAAAGTACGACCCGATACGCGCCAGCTACTGGAACTTTCGAAAAGGCCTACTCCATGAGCCCCAGGTCGCGGCGTAGATCAGCGTTCAGCGTAGAGAGCGGAGAAGCATGTGTTGCAGAGATGCCCATTCACAGGTCGTGCGCACATGGGCTGGGCTGCCTGCGGATCCGCACCGTGTGTTTGCGCGCGCAGCAACGAGCATATTCCGGAAGGCGTTGGGCGAACCAGACAATGTAGTGTTGACGAATATTTTTGGCATGGCGATAGAGGGCTTGGACGCGCCATGAACGCCTAGGGCCGAGTTTCCCTTTCCGTCGGGGATCTCGTTGTTCGATGCCGCACCCTCTCGGAGCCCGTCCCCGCCATTGCGCCGAGTTTGGCATCGGATCAAGACTTGTTGGACGAGCTCCCCTGCCCTGCAAGCGTGATGCGCGTCGTCTGATAGGCAAATTGGCGGCGCTTTGGGGCGCCATTCTGGGAGCTCCGCCGTCGATAACCGCTTCCGGTAATCTGGACCAGGGTTTAGTTTTGTGAGCACCGGTCTCATGCTTGTGTCATTCTGCGGTCGCGACGTGGTCGCTTGTTCCTTATCGAGAATCTATAGGGTAATTCATGCACATTATAGGGTAATGGATACTAAGAATCATGCTCGCGGTCCGCTTGGGTGCTTCGCTACCCCACTGCCTGACAGCCCTGAGCTCTGGGGTCGCGGGTGCGTGCGGAGCGATAAGAAGAAATTTGGTAGAGATAAAAGAAGTGACGCCTGTGGACTTGGTCGCCATCCTCGCAGCATTCTCTGAAAACTTCTCCTCTCTTCATCCAGCTTTTATCTTTTGCCTGCTCTTATTATCTTCTTGTGATACCCAACTTTTTCCATCTTCAACCATGGCCGTCAAGCAGCACTTTGTCCAGGAGCAACCCGAGCAGAACCCGTGGGTTCAGACTCCACTGAGGGAGTCTTATGCGCTCTCTGAAGCAGCGGGATGGTACGGTCACTCTTCCCAGTCACCCACATCCTATCCTCCCCTCCCTTGGTACGACGACTTTGAGAAGAGAGATTTCTAAATCGCAGAAGCAGAGTCTTTCTCAAGTTGGAGAACCTCCAGCCTTCCGGATCCTTCAAGTCACGGTAAGCAACGATGATTCGTCTTGTCAGTCACTGTACTGATCAACAACAGAGGCATTGGCAACTACATCCTCCGCCGTCTCGAAGAACTTCCACAAGGCTCGCGCCCTCACATCTTTGCCTCTAGTGGCGGCAATGCTGGTCTCGCTGCCGTTCACTCGGCTCGTGCCCTCAACCTTCTATGCACCGTCGTCGTGCCCACAGCCACTGCACCCTTGATGGTAGCTAAGCTCAGGGCTGCGGGAGCATACGAGGTCATCCAACATGGTGCTGCATGGAAAGACGCCGACGCATACCTGAAGGAACATGTCATGCCCTACGTACGTCGCCTACTGTGTCTGCATCACGTCACTGAAGACTAACACACAAACAGGCACAGACTGAAACCATCTACTGCCCGCCATTTGACCACCCCGACATCTGGCAGGGAAACAGCAGCTGCATGACAGAAATCGCCGCGCAGATGCCCGGCGGCGAAGAGCCCGACGTCCTTATCTGCTCTGTCGGCGGCGGCGGCCTAATCAACGGCATCTGCCAGGCCATGGACTCTCTCTCCATGACCAAGACCACCATCCTCGCCATGGAGACTGCCGGCGCCGAGAGCCTGCACGCGGCCCTCCAAGCCAAGGAGCTTATCACACTCCCCAAGATCACGTCGCAAGCCACGAGTCTGGGGTGCGCGCGCGTCACCGACGCAACCTTAAAGTACGCACAGCGCGGCAACGTCCGCAGCATCGTGTTGCCCGACGCCGAAGCCGCAATGGGGTGCTGGCGCCTCGCCGACGACGAGCGCATCATGGTCGAGCTCGCATGCGGCATCAACGTCGCGCTCTGCTACGACGGCCGCTTGGAAAAGGCTCTCGGCCGCCCCGTCCGCCCAGAAGACAAGGTCGTCATTGTCCTCTGTGGCGGCAGCAACGTCAACTCGAAGATGCTGTGTGACTGGCGCAACGAGTACGCTTACATTGAAGAAGAGTCCGAGGCCAGGCGCCGCAAGAGCGACTCGGCTATCGGCAGCGAGACACAGAGTGAGACGGGTAGTGTCAAAGATTTCGATCTGGCTAAGCCCACTGTCCCGAGTGACTTGACTAAGCCTTTTGTTATCGAGGGCATTGAGCGGGATTGTGTCGAGTGCTCTTCTTGATTTATGATTCGTCTTGGTTTGAGCCCTTTTAGATGCTCTTTTTTTTCCCATCTTTTTTTCCTTCTACTTTTGGATAAAGTTTGTGAGCGTTCTTTTTCTTTTCTTTTTGTTTTGTTAAGAAAATAGATCACGGCACTGCATGTTTTTGGGAACCTGAACGATGGTCTTACAATAGCAACTTACTTACTTACTACTTACTACTTACCCTTACTGCCAACTAATCCATCCATAAATCCTTTCATTCCTCACATGTACTACAGGAAATACCTCCCCCACACCCGCTCTTCTCCGTTGCATGTGCATGTTCTAGCCTGCTTCCATGCCGGCCCTTATTTACTCGCAGCTCCCCCTCCCCCCCAACCAGGCCCATTTCCCTTCTCTCAATCCCCACATAAGCCTGCAGCGCAAGTGCAAGTACATCACAGTCGATGCGGGGAATCTCTATTTTTTTTCCCTTCGGGCAAATCTCTTTCTTCTCTCTTTTCCCGCTAAGATACCCTCCGAAACGGCGAGGTGGGGGGGGGGCTTCTAAACTAGTAGTAATCTGACCGAAGGATTCTCCCTCTACACCTAGTGTAGCTTACCTCCTATACACCTACTGTATGTCATGCAGCCCAAGTCAAGTACGTACATATGCACTGAAATTTTCTTCTTTTTTTTCTCTTCTTTTTCTTCTGCATGTATGACGGACCGGTGGTATGACGTACCGGCGGTATTGTGGGTACAGCGGGATTTCCTTTCGTAGCGTCACCAAGGGGTTTTTTTTTAATTTTCTTGTGGGGCGGGGGCTGTATGTGTATACATGGAACGGGAGAGAGGTGTGCGCAAGTTTGAGGCAGATGAGATGACATGAGGATAAATCAGTGACCTAGTTGCGGACTGGGGGTGTGGGAAGTGGGGGGGGGAGGGGGGTTACTTTATTTATTATTTAGTGGTGGTGGGGGAGGGGGACTTTTTATATACTCAAGACGTTAGTGTTGGGGGAGTTTAATTTATACAAGTGATTCTTCTTGTTGCTTGTTTTGGGTTTCGGAGATTACTACTGGCTTTTGAGCAGGTATGCGTGGGTTTCGAAGGAGATATGCTGTGTGGATGTGCTGTGATGTGGTCAGTGTGGCGAATACGAGGTTTGAGGTGTATTAATAGTGGTCTGGATGGATGGGATGAATTGATTGGTTGGTCGTATGCAACGTCATTGAGGGAATGATATATGTAAAAAGACGTCCACATGACATGCGAACGAGCGAAATTTGATTGTTATACGAGGGACGCGCTGTCTGCTTTGTTTATTTGTACAAAGCGTTGTGTAGTATAGCTGGGTGCATGGAATTGACAGGTGGCATGCCAGGACTGCCGGACATGACAATAAAGCAGCGACATTGTATTCCAGGACATAACCTTGTAAAAACTAGGTTTTTGGAGAGATACACCTGGCCTGATATGAATCCATATAATTTTCACCGTCAATTACTCGGGCTAGTGTTGTTAGAAATGATATCGAGCGGGAATGATACAAAGCTCCTGGTGCCAAGGTTCAAAGAATTAGTTTTCGCGGATGATGCGTCAGTTTTGTAAAAGAGGAGGTGCGTTACTGAGAACTGACTAGAAGTCATCTCTTGTTTAACTATTCGAGCCAATGTCAAGTGCAATACATTAAACTAAAAGGGTCTAATACCTATGCTGTACACGAAGTGAACAAAGTGGTTATGCACAATCAATGCAGCGATCCGTAACGAACGCGTCCTATACACTTTTAAGCAGCTTACACAGTAATTACGTACAATTAATATACCAACTACGGCGTGGTATGTAGGATTGCGGCTCTGCGCATGCATCCTTCATCCTCCAAACTGCTTACTTGTCAGAAGTTTGCTTGTCCCCTTGGTCTGGCACTCACTGACCGTAACAGTGGTATACTGCTGTGAGCCTAGATGAACACATCGTTCTTCAATTCCCCAAATCAAGTTGTCTCAGGAATCTTGGGCAGAGGCCGAAAAGTCGCGTTGAACATCAGCATCAGCAATGCATGAATAAGACTTCATACCTGTGCCAGGAAGGAATTGTGGGGCCAAATACACACCAACTATGCAACCTGGACGAATCATATTTCGGCTCGAAGGTTACGCTGTGATTAGCTGTTGAGAAGTCTTTCAGAACATCCCCTTGCCTTGCACGCTCTGTTCTCTAGGCTGGTGAGTTATGCAAGGGCGCAAGCGGGCATGTGCAGAGGCGTGCATGAGTGGGTGCTAGACCAGTGACTACTGTACGGTGAGATGTGAGTGTGATCTCAGATAAGCAGTTTGGAGGATGCGAAGAAGCACACCGTGCCGCAATCCTACAGACTACGCTACAATCACGTGACTAGTTATTATTAGCAGTAGCTAAACAGCCGTCCAGGATGCAATCGTCAACTATCACTCTCCCTACTCACCCATAAGCAGCACACCTGTGATGGGAAATCATCACTTCATTTAAGTAGTATTAAATAGCAAGCAAGATGATCCCTATGGTGTATCGTGTTCAACTACTTGTTTCAATTCAGACTTTATATTTGACTATTTCAAGCACCCTGCGCTGTACTTCCGAAGCATCTGTTCACCGGTACCTCTCATCCGCGGAAAAGGCTAGAACCCAACAGCGGGTATTTAACACCATACTTACTTAGGTTAGGACATCAGTGTCTGCCAGGGATAAGTATAGGCTGACATTGGCAGTGGCGAAACCAAGGAGGTGTGGAGAAAATGGCGGCTTTGGAAATGTTCCGCCACAAAGTGTGCACGCTCGTTATTGGAGAGCAGTTCACGCATGATGGTTGGATGACGTTGCAGGGTCTAGAGCGGTGTATCGACGGTAGGGGCTCCCATCATGCGTTGAATGGAGCATTCCCCGCTGCATTTTAGCATGTGACATGCTGTTGCCTTTGACTAAATTGACGGATTGTGGCAGAATTGGGACAAAATAGGCTCTCAGTCGTGGTACGCGTAGTGCACATGGGGTGGGTAGAGAGGCAGAGAGCGGTAACAGTCGAGTTTTCACTTAGAGAGGCTGAAGAACGGCGACCAAAGTGTGAGCGAGGCATGTATTGCGAAGGATGCCGCGATAAGCTTGTATTGGATCCTCCCATCACATATGCGCCATACATTGTGGTTCAGGTGCTAGACAACAACAGAGAGAGGTGGATGGACTGGGTCTTTTTGGCCTTGACTAATCAGGATGTACTAGGTCAGTTGCCTGAGGTGTTGGGACGGATCAGGCGTAAAGTCACAGCCAACGATTGTAGGCAACCCCGAATCTGAGGATACACCGGAGTGCAACCCGTCGATGAAAAAAAACTCCACTAGTGTTGTAAACACACGTGAGGCTATTACCAGATTTTTGCTAAGTCTTGCTGTGTTTAGGTATGTGCGCGGTTGGGGCGTAGGCAGTGCTTAAGTAGCATTGAAGTATGGAATTGGACCGAATTGCTTTTTAGACTCATTGAATAAAGTGACCACTGTCTCAAGACTAAAACCATATCAGAGCACGAGTGTATTACTATTGCTCAAACTATTGGTCTCGCCTGGCTTACATGGTGCTTGCTTCGAATCATGGGGGTGGGAAGACAAGACGTCAGCACTACCATGACAGCAGCCAAGCGACACGGAATCCTGGGAAATACACTTTCGCGAGTTCTGAATGATTGCGGAGTTTATGCTTTTTATGAGTACTTTTAACGTGCTAACGCAGCGGCTTTCACGAAGCGGGAGAGTAGTAGTTTTCGAATACAAATGCTCTCTACTCAACCAAAGCGCCGTTGGTAGTTAAAATAAAAAGTTCTTTTCTTAGACTCCATAATCTGTAGATCAACTAAATTATAATTAGTAACGTGTTTTATCAGTAAGCGGCCCACATCAGTAAGTGGCCCACCCTACCAAACCTGACGCGACGCTCTACTCAATTGCTCTACAGCAACTTAATAAAATTAAATTAAATTAAAAGATATTATTCTTTATCTAGCTTTACATGAAGTCCGAGTATGTCCTTGAACGTGGCACTTCGTGCACGTTGGCGGCGCGCGCTGACGTCGCTCGCCAGTCTGGTTCTGGTCACCCCCCATCACCACCCTTTCTGCCTCTGCAATGATCTGCTGAGCCTGTTGGACCCGGAGCACCCCACCAGAAGCGATATATTGACGCTGCCGCTCCTGCTTTTGTCGTTGGCGCTGGTTTTCTTTACGTAGCTTCTTAATTTCCTCTGTAAGTATTGTTACTGTTTGCATTGCAAGCTGAGCGCTTTTAGCAAGCTGGCGTATCATAACGCTTGTTGGGCTCTCTGATCTCCGGCGTAGCCGCTCTTGGAGATAGCGCACCTTCTGCTGAAGCTCTGCTACTGTTTGTGGCGTCTCTGTCTGCGCTGCTGCTGTCTGCATAGCGGCGTTATTGTCTGTAGTTGTCTGTGGTGGAGACGGTGTCCTAGCCACTGTAAGCGACGATAGGACGCGATCTGGACAAGGAGGGACAAGGCCTGTCGCCTGGAAGCCTGCCTGGATGTTCTGCTGCGTGAATACTGTTGGCCGGATCTGTTGATAGACTGTAAGGAAGTCTATCTTGTCAATGTGGTAGACGCCTTGGCGGGCGAGCTTCTCGATCTCACGTCCGG